AACCTCTTCTTGTACAGGTGTAAGACGGCGATTTTTGGAGATAGCACCGCGTTGTGGAGGAATACCACGGGCGCGACGCGTAACCGTCTTTCTGGGCACATCGTATAGTTTCTCAACGCCTCGGAAGGATGTAATTTGGCCGGTCTTGTAGGCTTGAACGCCTAGAATAACTCTGCCTTCTTGAAAGATGGCTTCTTGTTGTTGTGGTGCTGCCATTGGGGTGGTTGTTGGACGACGCGTCGCGTGTTGAGTTGGGTGGGCCACTAGCTTGTGCGGGCCACTAACTTGTGGATTACGTTATACGTTAAACTCGCAACCACTGCTCTTCGTTTGCAGCTCTTGAACACAACCCCCCGTTTAGCACATGACGGATTATAGTACTGGGGAGGCCTCGGTGTGCCAGTTTGAGTGTGATAGCGAATTCGCTTCTTATACAGCGGGTTGTCTGATCATAGGAGGAACGAGAGTGAGGTCGCGGCCGAGTCGGAGGATGCCTTAGACCGAGAAGAGCTTTCGGACGAGACAATGGAAGAACGGGGGGATTTAAGCCCGTGTCAGGTGTGTTGTGGCCGGAAATACCTTTGAAAGACCTCAAATGCCATCTACCAACCTTGAGCCCGGCTCACCTCTGCAATGCCGCATCACCGACTACCCCACGAAGTCTCAGAGCCTACCTTTTCCTTCCCTGCAACTACCCTGCGCAGCTTCTGGCCCAATGGACGCCTTGCTCCTGGATGCAACCAAAAGTTCGCTTTAATCTCTCATAGTCATGCTCAGCTACGGGTTCACCTCTATATGCCGCGTTTCATTTCCATATTACGAGACGCTATCATGCAATCTTTCCAGTTCGCTTTCTAGGTCCTCCAATTCACGCCAGCCTCGCCGCTTGTGGCGGGGGTGAATGATGGATGATGAGATGGGAGGTTGGGTTGGATGGTCCGTGGCGCATTAGTCTTGAGCTATCAGACTGGGGTGGTTTGGGGAAGCGGTGCAATTGGTTCGGTTCATTTGCGTTGTGTATGAGTTTATTGTTGGAAGCGGGTTCGTGAAGGGGGGGGTATGGTACAGAGAGGCGGGTTGGCAGGGAAGAAGGGAAAAGCAAAACACAGGCTTCTGATGAGGTTATTTTAGACATTAACATATCCACTTTGGTTCTGAGACGCATAAGTCTCTGAGACATATAAGCCTCAGAGACACATAAGTCCTTTGGGACACTTGAGGCCTTGAATCAACAACGCCATGATGAAGCCTGAGACGAAAAAAGAGAAGGCTCAAGTGACTCCCTCCTAAAGTCGCAAATCTTAGGCCGAGAGGTTCAAAAGCACTATGGCCCTGTTGCTGCCCCACGCCCTGGAAACATAAAAGAAATACAACCTTGTGACGGGGTAATTAGTCATTAACTCATCCACTTGGTCTTGAGACGCATAAGCCCTCAAAGCATATAGGTCCTTTGGGAAACAGAAGCCCCTGAATCAACAATGCCATGAATCCTGAGACAAGAAGAGAAGGCCCAAGGTGAGATCATCCCACAGCCGCAAATATTGAGCTGACAGGCTCGACCGGAGTATTGGCCTGATGCTCCGCACCGTGGAAGCATCAAACACCAACACCATATGAAACTTGAAAGTGCAAGTTAACACTCAGTCAACTCCCCTGCTGGCAAACGTTCAAGCTGGTGGAAGTAGAACGAAAGTCCTGTACGGATGAAGTCTGATCATAGTCCCTTCATGTCCGCACTTGTCGGACGTGTCCTTGTGTTCGTGATACTTACAGATATGGTGTCCCGCTGTCGCCGTTCCAAAGACTTCGCCCAGCGGCGGCATAGTGCGCTGGAGTTGTAGCAGGACCCGGAACATGAAGTCACTCGGGAGCGCATCTTGCTGCGCGTTGAGCGAGGCGGCTCCCATGCGGCCGCAAAAGACGTCGATGAGGAGCGAATGCAGGGGCGAGCCGTCAGCGAGTTTGCGGGTCCTGAACGCGTGCATGATCGTAGGGACGGCGACGCACTTGCGATTGTTCTTGGCGAAGTGGAAGAAGAACTCGCTGATGGCGTCGCGGCGGAGCTTGGGGATGTTGTACTTCTCGCCCATGTAGTAGAGGTCTACGAGGTCGATCTCTAGATTCAGGTTCTCGATTGCGGCCGTCAGCTCGCCGCGGGGCTGCCACGGAAAGCGGTCGAAGTAGAACCAGTCGAGGAAGATGTTGAAGGTGTTCGGACTAATGTCCGGCAACAGGACCGTTAGGTCGCCGCTCTCTTCAGTCCCCTTTTTGAAGAGAGCCCGGAAGTATCCAGAATGGTGCGCGAGTAGATCTCTGTGGGCGCCGTAGACAACCGGTGAGCCAGAGTCTTGTCCCTCTGGTCCGACCTTCAGCTGCACCAGCACTCCGCTCATTGTCCTAGACAGCTGTTAGACCATTTTTACACTTGGCGGTCGAGCGCAACTGGGAGGCTTACATGAATGATGGCATTGCTGAGTTCTTGTCCTTGTCCGGCTTCTCCGACGGCTGTGACTCTGGTGCCCCAACGGAGGCGGAATTGGGCGTCGCATCTGGCGCCGTCGGCGCTTCAGTGGAGAGGAATGGCCGGTCGGGAATGGCTGATGGTGACATGGGAGCAACTTGTCCGAACGTAAGACTCCTCCTGTCTGGTCCAAGAGCTGTCGGAGCGGCGGGCATCTTAAAGCCGCCAGGAGCTACGAATGGAATTTCAATAACCATTTTTCCGGGATGCGGTGGAAGTGAGCTCGGACGAGGTGACATTGGAGGGCGCGACGAGAGGCGCGTCGACGCGTAAACAGCGAAGGCGGGCTTCAGATGCTGCAGCAGGCAAGGGGGCCTTAAGCTATCTTGTAGCTGATTAAGCGGAGAAGGACAGCTCGCTGAGATGAAATGGAAGGTTGAAGGTGAAATGGAGTGGAGGTGAGAGGGAGGAAAGCAGAGAGGGTGTGCAGTTTAGGTCGACCTCGAGGACCCTTCCAAGGTTGAGTTCGCAAACGCGATATGCAGCCCACAACTTTTTACATCGCAAGGCCTTCTGAATTCGTGAGCTTAGTAGGAAGACTGCAGCGGTGTTCATCATAACCCGATGTTCATATGTAGTTAGATGCATTTAGAAACTTTCACCTGGGCACTTTTACATTACTGAGACATTAGTTTAGGCACTCCTTAGGATACCCCGACAGGCTTAAGAACTTCCAAATACGATGTAAAGGTCAATCCAGTGGAGAGCAGATTACCTTTTGACTAGTTGAAGACGGTTTACCTAGGGCAGTCCTTACAGCGGTGTCCAGAGAGCGAAAGTGCAGCCAGAGCAGTGTCATAGCCGTGTGCCCAAACTTATGGCCTGGTACTATAGACTTCGTGAAAATGCACCGTCTCACTTGGGCAGCAGGAGCTCGATCTAATCCGAGGCTTCAAGTTGTTGGAATCTGTCTGAATTATGACTGAGCCTGTGAGGGGCTCCTAATGGTCGCTCGCCATCTGTCGCACTTGTATGATAAGGCACAAGATTCAAGCACGAATGTAAACTAACCGGATTCGCCATGCCACGTACGTGACTCCAAGTGTCCACTGTTACCTTTCCAAACCTAACCCCTTCAGCCGACTCGAGAAGCTGGGCTTCCCGTACCACACACACACTTCCACAAGCCTAGAACATCATCCCCAACCACTGTGTCGGCCCTTCTTTCGAGGGTAATCTGGTGGTCCATAGATAGTCCCCGGAATTTCTTTGTATTCGCAAACATCTGCGTCCCCTGCTTCATGGTGATGATAGACACAAAGCCTGTGCTTGTTGTGTGGTCGCACTAGAAAAGACGTGCCTGATTGCTTCATGATGTTCTGCACTCCCTTCAGGGCGTCGAACATAAAGTCCACGGGAAGGGCTGAGCGAGCATCTTCTAGAATATTAGTTTTCTGAATCCGCGCGCAGAACAGGTCGCAGATGAGGGTACGCATTGGCGAGCTCTCAGGGAGAAATAAGAAGGCCTTTGTGACGCTGGACTGGGACAGGGTTCTCTGGGCGTCTTGTGCGAAGAAGATGAAGAAGTGACTGAGAGCATCATGGCGAAGCCTAGGAATGTTGTAGCGATCGGCCATGATGAAGAGGTCGAGAGTGTACTGTGCAACGCCCTCTCTTGCGTTGTCTAAAGCCTTTCTTTCAGCATTCCCGTCCTCGTCGTCTTTGGTGTCGTCGCCATCTTCGACTTTCTCCGAAACCTCCCGAGTATTGTCCCTGCCAGATGTCGGCACATGCGGCAAGTTGTCGTCTTCGCTTCCTTCCCATGGGAATTGGCCCGAGTACAACCAATCCATGAATATTTCGAAGGTCCGGCAGTCAGTATCTGGCAAAGCTGACGCCTTCTCCTGAGCTTCTCGAAACGAGCCTTTGAAGAGGGCACGGAAATATTCCGAGTGATAGGCAAGCAGATCCTGATGAACACTGTAGACTTGCTCCTCTGAGCCGACCTTGAGGTTTACGACCTCTCTACCCATCGTCCTAACGCCTCTGTTAGCCTTTCTTCTTAGTGGTAACGCCTTGCGACAACATACAAGAACGAAGGCCGTCTAGCCTTCCTAGGCTTCTTCGACGACGCCATCTTCAAGGGACTGTGGAGATAGTGTGTGTTGTGTAAAGTGAAAAAAGAAGCGAGGTAGAGTGCGCTCGATCTTGTAGAGTGCTCAGGTGGGACAAGAAAATGTCTGTACCTGAAGTCTACCCTGCCCATGCCGACGCGCTACTCTCGAAGGTGAATCTTGAAAAAATAGAACCTTAGTATTCACCCATGGACATACTGAAATATACAACCTCCGAATACCATATCATCACAAGGTGAGCAACATATGAAGCGCATAGTTACGATATCGGATTTGCTCACCGCCAAGTCGCGAGAAGACAATGAAGAAACAGACTCCAAGCACCGCCAGCAGATGCAACATGCAACCGACCAGCCTCATCAGCACCCAAGGCCTCATCGCAGTCAGCTCCTCCAATTTTTGTTCACTCCTCTCAACCATACTCTCACATCGCTCTCACTGCCCCCACACCCCCAGGATACTAATACTCCAACACCTCCCCCCTTCCTATCTCATACATATTCTACTCGCTCATACAGCCACCCACATGACACTAACCACAATATCCATGCCCTTCTTCTCGCCGCCGTCGTACTTCCAGCTCCACATGCCGTCCCGGTCGTTGTTCCAGTACGCGCCCATGGCGCTGTGCATCCCCCGCCGGCCGGTGCTGCCGCTCTCGCCCGCGACGCCGGGGCTGGGCGTGATGTGCTGGATGATGGTGCTGTTGACGGCGTATTTGAAGGGGGGATGCGCGTTGGTGGTGGATGAGGTTTCCGAGATGAGGGCGCGGAGCACACCGTTCTGGGGGAGGGTGTTAGTCTTTGAAGCTTCATTTACAAGTGCTGTGGGGACTGAAAAGGTGATGGGATACAGCTAGCAAGGGGGAGTAGACGGCGGTGTTGAGGGTATGAGAGCGTATTCGGGGTGCTCGTGTGATACGGTGAACGTACGATGATGGCCGTGTTCCAGGCTGCGACGCTGCTGTGGTTGTAGCCCTCTGAGCTGCCGATGGCGCTTTCGCACGCCTGAGACTCCAATTAGCTTCTTTGCGCGAGATCTCGGGAAAGGAGGTGTATGTACGTCTGTTGCGATTTGCTGCAGCCGAGTCGTCGTAACAGGCTGTGGGAACTTGCATTAGCATTCGGAAACATGCGCTTCAGCAAGAGCCACACATACCGAAGTCATGATGGGCTCGGTTGTTTTAATTTAGGAATCTAAGGAGGTGATAGGGTTGCGGGGGCGTGCCAATGGTGATGTTTGGGGGCTTGAGGAGTGGTGTTGTTGTTCGGCATCAGTGAAGGCTACCTAAGCTAAGACCAGGAGATCGCCTGTTGCTGTTGCGGGCGGGGGTTCTAGCGATTGGCTGCGGTGCACGTGGGCGGACGAGAGCCCTCGATGGATCGAAGACCTTTGCCGTGTTTCTTTCTTTTCTTCAGCAACAGAACACGCTTATATCGGCCTCAAACTCCTGGTCGAGCTCTGCAGCCCTCCTACCTGTTCACTCCTACAATCATCCTACCCATTGAAGCTCAATACCAACCCTTTTCCCATCTCCGACGCCAGCAGTCCCCACCATGTCCACCCAACCTCTCCTCCAAACTGCCCCAGGTATTTCTCCCCTCCCTCCACCCCTTTCTCCCTTCCTCACTCCCTCCCTCTCTCCAATGCTCCAACTCTCACCACCGCCCCAGGCAAACGCATCGCCCTCCCCACCCGCGTCGAGCCCAAAGTCTTCTTCGCCAACGAGCGCACCTTCCTCAGCTGGCTCAACTTCACCGTCATCCTGGGCGGGCTGGCCATCGGCCTGCTCAACTTCGGCGACAGGGTCGGGCAGATCAGCGCGGGGCTGTTCACGCTGGTCGCCATGGCCGCCATGATCTACGCGCTGTTCACGTTCCACTGGCGCGCGAAGAGCATCCGGCAGCGGGGGCAGGGCGGGTTCGACGATCGGCTGGGCCCGACGGTGTTGGCGGTTGCGCTGCTGGCGGCTGTAGTGGTGAATTTTGTGCTGAGGGTTGTGGCGGGGAAGAAGGAGAGGGAGTGAGGTGGGGAGATGGGCTGGGAGAGGGGGTATGGGGGTGGGTTTGGGAGGGATGGTTTGATGATGGGGCTGTATGGAAGGGAAACGGCTTTCACTGTGTATATTGGGGGCATGGCAAAGCTGGGTGTCTTGTTGTGGCTCACGTTCTCGCACAGGTATGTACTTGGCAGCGGGAGTTTGAATTTTTACGCAGAATCATCGACGCATTGTTATTTTCGTGTAAAAGAGATCCTCAAACAGCTGTCATCGTCCTGTATCGTGAGATTCTCATGTCGTGTGCCGTCAAATCGTGTACTCGGTGTAAGATTGCCGAAGGTCTGAGACGGGCTGGTTTAGCCCTCTCCTCATCATTCACGCCTAAAGACGTCTCAAAAGCATCTGGAATGCATTCAAGCAGTGACATATGAGCTTCACATTACTATTTAAGTCACTACGAGCCGCTATGATGTCTCAGTAGGCCAAAGGCCCGGCGCTGGCTCACACACCACACCACTCAGACCACCTGTCCTCACCACACAAAGGCAAAATTCATCTCAATTTCACAAACATCACAGCAAAGAAGTCATATGTAGATCAGGAACAGTGTATAATTGCGAGGAAAACCCTTCTCGGGTCAAAAACCTCTAAATATCCAACCAAATCCACAAGAATCTCATCCACCTGACCATCTCAGTTCCACCTAAGTATCTGTGAACACGCTGCCCCGAAAGAGTGACAGGAGGTGGGAATACATGGCCGGGGAAGGGTCGAGATAGCATAGTCTACAAGGGCCGGGTTTGTGCCCTACATATACAAATATATGTGATACATGGAGTGAGACCTTGATTTTAGGAAGTGGAAGGAGGGAATGCCCGAAGGCGAAGAAGAGAAGAGGGACGGGGAGAGGGCGAGTTTAAGTAGATTTTCGTGGAGGGGATGAGTCAGCGGTGAGTCAGCGGGCAGTGGGTGGTTCCGCGGTAGATTGGAGCTTCTGGGCTCCTCCTGATGACGAGGCTATGCGAAGTCTGGAAGAGTAAAACCGTGGTAGAGAGGGAGGACAGTAGAATTGTGACGAACTACGGCTATGATGACGAGGCTACGTGGAGTCTGGATAGTTGAAACTTAGTAGAGAGGGAGAACCGTAGAGTTGTGACGAGTTACGGATATGATGACGAGGCCACGTGAGCCCTAGAAGATTACAGTCGTCGCAGAAGAGAGGCCAGTCGAATCGACAGGTATGTGCGAGAATGAAACTACGTGAAGGCTGGACTAATAGAACCGTGGTACGGGTGTCTGAAAAGGGCAACGCTCTTATCTGAAGTAAATTCTCATGTAGTTCACGTATCAACGTTACTCCTGGGAGTTGAAAATAGTCTAGTGTTTTCATTCGAGTAGGTGTTGTACATCTACAATAGGAGTCTAGATATGTGCGATTTCGCCATTCCGCAGAGCAATCACTGAAGGCGCGCCCGACTAGGTCATGGTGACTAGCTCCTCTGCTGAGACAGGATGAATTGCCTGAATGAAATGAGTTAGCTCTGCTGTAAAATATCAACTTAGATCTCTTCGAACTCACGACACAGTTATCAAAGTCCGCCTTCGTCGCGCCCATCTTGATAGCGACACCAAAGCCCTGCAGAATCTCACTGCTGCCCACACCCAAGATATGCAACCCAACAACTCTCTCATTCACGCCCTCGCAGATGATCTTGTAAGCAGTAGGGCCCTTGTCTTCGGGCTCCATCATGGCGTAGTACATAGCTGTAAACTCAGTCTTGTAGATTTTGACGCTGTTGCCATACTTTTCCCTCGCTTGCGGCTCGGTCAACCCAATACTTCCAATCTCAGGATGTGCAAAGACGACGGAGGGGATGTTGCTATAGTCGAGATGCGCGTCCTTCTTCCCAGCGAAGAGTCTCTCGCTGAGACGGCGGCCGGCGGCGATGGCTACGGGTGTTAGTTCGAAACCACGATCACAGACATCTCCGAGGGCGAAGACGTTCTCGACGTTGGTACTCTGGTAGTCGTCCACGACGATGTGTTTCTTTTCATTGAGCTTAATTCCAAGCTTGTCGAGATGAAGGTCCTCGATTTCTGGGACACGGCCGACAGCGAAGAGAACGACGTCGACGTCGATGCTCGACTCCTTGTCGCCTTCTTTGTAGTACACCTTTTTCGAGCCGTCGTCCAGCTTCTCGACCTTTGTGATCTGGGCCCCCTTGTGGAGATTGACACCCTGTCGCTCGTACTCTTTCGTGACAGTGTCTTGAATCAGAGGATCAAAACTCCTGAGCAATTTGTCTCCACGAATGAAGAAATCGACTTTTGTACCAAGAGCGTGCAGCATTCCAGACATCTCAACTCCGATGTAGCCGGCTCCACTGGTTGCAATCCGCTTTGGCTGCTCTTCCAAGTCAAAGAAGCCATCACTGTCGATACAGAGTTCCTTTCCGGGAATATCGGGGATAGTGGGACGGCCGCCAGTCGCAATGAGGATGTTCTTCGCCCTGATGGTCTGCTTCGTGCCATCGTCAAGCTTGACCTCGACTTCGTTCTTGCTCACAAAGCTGGCACGACCATGCAGGGTGTCGATCTTGTCTCTTCCGAGGTTGTTGGCGTAGATGCCATTCAGCCTCTTGACATAGGCATCGCGCTTTTTCTTGAAGTACGGCCAGTCGAATGTAGGCTCTTCGAATCCGCCGAACCCATAGGCTTTCGCGTCTTTGAAATTCTCGGCGATTGCGGCGGCGTTCCAGGTCACTTTCTTGGGTACGCAGCCGACGTTCACACAGGTCCCTCCCAGCCGGGCGCTCTCAATCGCAATAACTTTGGCGCCGTGTTTTGCCGCTCGTCGCGCAGATGCGATACCGCCGCTGCCTCCCCCGATAACTAGATAGTCACACTCTTTCTGAATAGGCGCCATGATTGACGGCGAAGACGAGAAGTGGCGGGAAACCGACGCAAGGCGTGTGGCGGCCAGTTTCGAGGGAGCGCGGAACGACAGAAGAATGGAAGTGGAGGAGTGCGGCGATGCGGCGACTGATACGGCAGAGGCTGTGACTTTATGTATGATGAAATTCATAGGTAGAATGGTGACAGGGCCTCTCCGGTGAAAGGTACAACTTTAGTAATGACGCAAGGCCTGGATGAGAACAGTCTCGGAATGACAGAGCAGTGTTATCTAGCCAACAAACGACAGACAATTCCACCAGCCTAGCGTAGACGCGATGAATGACAAATGGGAGAAACACGAAGGATTCTGTATAGGACGCCTGCCTCGGCGCTTTGTTGAACAATTTGTGACTAGAGTCCATTCCAAATTATTTGAAGCTCAACACATGCCGTGCATCCGAGCTTTGCGGCAGAAACTGCTCTCCATACAACAACAGCCTCACAAAGGTCAAGTCCTAAGAGCATCTACTATATTTAAAGAAACTCTAGATTGATATCTGATATCTTCTCGGATCGCTACACCGAACACGAGCCGTCCCGCCATGGTCTATTGCGCCTCGTCCTCGAACCACCCAATGACGTAGCATCCACTCACGACCCAACTCACCACCACCAGCTGCATCCAAGCTCATCCTCGACTTTAAGAGCCACAGCCTAGTATGGGAGGACGTCTGTCAGTACCGCGCTCCGCAGACGGCATCTCCGAAGTCCCCGGCGTCCCCGGAGGAGCTAAGAAGGTAGCACGAAGGAGTCTCATCAATGGACGTGTAAGTCATTCAATCTACTACATCTGGCGCTTGATCATTTCTTTATTATTAGGCATTATAAGACTGACATGAACACAGACTCTCGTAGCACCTCTGGCCGCGCTGACAATGGCCGGCCTTCTCTTCGTCTATTCCCGTACCTCGATCCGCGCCGCAAAACTCAATGCACAGAAGCATCGTGAAGCCGATGGAGGACAGATCAGCTGGTATCGTGAATCAAGGCGGCGGCATGGGCAGTTGGAGAAGGTTGATGATACCGGAATACTGAAGGAAGCGCTGTTTGCGAAGGAAAAACCTGATAAGCCTGTTGAGGAAGGCAAGGTTAAGAGGACGTCGGAGAATGAGGAGACTTTGAGGAAGATCCTAAAGAGGGATGATTAGGAGTCGGAGGATTCTGGAGATAGCGACAATTGATAGCGCTCAGCTACGATTTGAAGGATATCGAAGGTAGGGTGGTATTCTGAAGAGAGATCAAAAGGAAGGAGCATATCATATCGGCTACACATCCTTTGAGATAGTTTTTTTGGTCACGAAATACTGGAATTGGAACTAATCATGGCCTTCGAAGTACTGTAAGTATACGTTTTGGGACTTGATGTTTTCGTACACTCCGTTTAACATACAATGCAAGGTGCAAAAATATGTATCTAACAAACTGGGCGTTAAATAGGGAGTATGATTCAGCTCACGTTCCTTGTGGAGCAGAACACTATAGGGCCACGAAGGTGTTTCTTGCGAGATCCGCGGACTGTCGAGAATGTCATGCGCATCCTTCCTTATAATCAAACTTCCTTTCCATGCAAGTTCAAGGATTTCGGCTACGCCAAACAATTCAACGACTGAATACCTTTTCCCCGCAAAGGACCGATGAACGCCAACATCTCGGACACTATGCCTATTCCTACAGATGGCAACCCGACCAACGCCCAAAGGACTAGTATCCCTGACTACCAAGGCTGCGTTATTATCATAATTATAGGCTCCGAAATTATCGCCCCGCGAGGCTGGACTATCACCAACGCTAACGGATGCCGCATCGTGAATCCTCGAGACTACACTATTACTAACGCCAGGGGCTGCGATATCAAGGCTCCCCAAGGAGGTACTATCACCGACTCTACGCACTGCGACATCCGTGAGCCTAAAAATTGCGCCATCATCAATGCTAAGTTCTGCGATATCAACGAGCCTAATTACTGCCCTATCACCAACTCCCCTCACTGCTAGATCAAGGGACTTCAGGATTCCAACATTGTCAAACCCGTCAAATGTGAGATGCGCAACCCCTGGGCGTGCACTTTCACTGACGCCTGTGACTGCTAATATCTTTTTACTTGATGCTAACGTGGCCACCCGGAATGTCAGGGCGTTATCGTCTGCATATTCGCTCTTTAACAACGCATTGTGCTTCAACAAGCTCCCAGAAGTAGACAGGAGTCGTGGTCTTAGCATCGTGAATAAGCTACCAATAAGCTCGAAAGTTCAGGATTTTAAAAACACATCGAGGAGTTTCAACAGCGGCAGACAAGTGTACAAGTGCGTGGTCCAAGAAGTTCCACGTCAAGAACAAGTTCCACCTTAAGAATAAGCTCCACGTCAAGAGTGAACACGAAGGAAAGTCCTGAGATCTTCACACGCATTGTGAATCTTTCAAATGGACTTAAATAGGCTGCCGTCTCTAACTGAGACGGTGAATCCCCTGCATCAAGCAATATCGCTCACAAAACTATTGTTCATCTTCCTTCTTCCTCGCCTTCATAAATTTCTACTTCTACTCCTACCTCCTCTCCCCACCCACCACCACCACCACCACAGGCAAGACCAAGTCCCTCCCGCTCCTCAAGAAGATGGCTGCCGACTCAGGCGACTTCGCTTGGAAAGACACGGATATCGACTTGGAACGGGAGTTGGGCGAGGTCAACTGGCCTGCCTTGGTCGACTACGCTCTCATCAAGAAGCAGACGATGCTCGGAGATCCCGAAATGCCCATCGCCTGCCAGCTGGCCGATAAGTATAACGCAGGCGGCCGCAACGTCCTCCGGCTCCTCAGCTTCAGCGATGACACCAAATGGATCGTCCGTCTGCGGCGTCGAGGGGGCGAGCTAAAGTCATCGGACTGGGAGCTGCGTTTCCATAGCGAAGTAGCTACAATGCGGTTCCTCGCAGAGAAGACTCGCATCCGAGTCCCGCAAGTGTACGCCTACGAGACCAGCGAGCTCAACCCCGTAGGCGCCGCCTTCATACTCATGGAATTCCTAGACGGCATTAACGCGATCGACGCATTCGGCGGCCTCGGCGGTGGTGGGCAAGTCCCCAAGGAGCACCACCCCTCCTTCTTCCCCGCCGTCGCTGAACTGCAGGCAGAGATATCCTCCGTCCGCTCCGCCAAGATCGGCTCCATCGTCCAGCTCGACGACGGCACCTATGACATCGGCCCAATCCCGGACCTCGGCGGCCCCTTCTCCACTGCAGCTGAGTTTCTCGCAGCCTGGTGCCGCCGCACGCCTTTCAACCGCACCGCCAGCAACCTCCGCGCCGTCTGCGACCGCCAAGACCCTGACCTCGCCGAACCCCTCGTCGCCTCTGCCTTTGATTTCCCAAAAAGGTTGGAGGAGCTCCTCCCGTCCATGGCGCTCCGGCCAGGCCCCTTTCCGCTCATGCACGGTGACTTCTCCCACCATAACTTCCTCGTTGACGCGGCCAACCCGACGCAGATCGCCGCGGTGGTGGACTGGGAGCAGAGCACGACGGTGCCGTGGGAGCTGCTGCGCTTGCCGCTGTTTCTGCCGGATTTTCCGGATTCGCTGGTCGCGGCGGGGCGGGCGGCGAGGGGGAATCCGGAGTTGAGGAGTTGGGAGGTGAGGATTGATCGGGATAATGAGGCGCAGGCGGCTTTAAGGGCGGAGTATATTGGGTATGTCGCGGAGGCGGAGAAGGTGAGGGGGTTGGATAAGGAGCTTTCGAGTGTGCTGGGGGACAGGAGGTCCCAGGATTTGGCGGTTGGTATGGACTTTTGGGAGAACGAGGGAAAGCCAGTGTTATATGAGGCGGTGCTGGAGGCGTGGAAGGAACTCGAGGAATCTGGGGAGGAGTAGTTTGGAGATTGTGCTTGCTTTGGAATTGTACAGTATCTCGTCATAGGAATTCGTATACTCGTTTACCACTGCGTGAGAAGCTTCATAGTGTTTTCAGCATTTTGAATAAGAGAGAAATTCGGCATTTTGAACAACTAGTAAGCTCGTGAAGCTGCCCCAGACAGCGCCAACACGGTGTACGCAGATAGTACTTTGGACCCCCACAGACAGTCGCAGGAAGTATTACGGGCATCTATAGCAAGGCACAGTAATTTGGCGGACTGAGCTGGCTGTTCTTGGCGAGGAATCTGTGTTATCTATGTACCGTGCCTTGCCAGAAGTCTGGGCCCACTCGCTCACCACCGTTTGAGGTGCTTCAACACATTCCGAAAATTCGGATAAGATGTAAAGGCCCTGATGGCTTGAATCAAAGAGGCTCCATGCCCTGACAGTCGGCCTAGTTGGCCGCTGTTTGTGGCTCTTCAACACATTATTAGCATTTTGGAAGAAATGGAAAGATGGCGTGCCTAGTTTTGTGTCTTAGTACAGTAAATACAAGTACCTTGCACTCATCAGGCGGCTTCAATACCAATCCCCAAATCTGTGGATATGTACAGCATCTTCTGGGCGACAGACTGTGCATATTGGCGCGATGTGTCTAGACCATAATCCCACCCTCTATCTCGTCGGCGCGGAGGTAAGCCCTGTGAAATTCGAAAGACTGGCGGCTTATGTAACACGTTTGTAATCTTCAGGGCTTGGCGGCTAAAATCCGCGCTTTCGAGTCTTCCATCACCTTTCTGTCAATAACTCAACAACCACACCTCTAGTAACAGATCTGAGACCGGGACGCAATTCGCCGGATCAAGTAGTATTTTTGAGGAAGTTTTGGAGATCGGTTTTGTCCGCGTCGTTGGAATGGAGGTGGGCATTATAGGACTCGACACTTTTGAGACACTTTTGAGGCCCGCTTGGCGTGCCAAGACTTGCCGGATTGAGGAGGGGGAAGAAAGGGAAGACCACGTGACGTCGGCTCTCTTTTCCACAGCGCATTGAGTGAATGGACCGAGCTCGGAGCACTTGGGTAGCACTGTTGCTCATGCGATACCGCTGTCAGGAGGACTCCTACTGACTGGTAGCCGGTAAGTCAAGAGAAACTCTGATGTCCAAGGCGTTGAACTGTATATTGTGCATGACCGCTTGAGTGTTCCCCATGTGCTCTCGATACTGCTGTCAGGAAGGCCCCTGTGGACAGCCAGTCGGTATGTCAAGAGAGAGGCCGATTTCCACGGTGTGTACCTTTACATTGCGTGACTGCTTGAGTGTCACTGTTGCTCTGTCGATACCGCTGTAAAGGGGACTCCCGCTGACCCCTTTTCCCGTGCTTGAGGAATGACATATGAGGAGTTATGTAGCTCTGAAAAATTTGATAAAAAGCAGAGAAATGGTCAATTCCTAATGCAAAAATAAACCATCGCCTGGTCACCAGCTTGCATCATAGATGTCTTTTGAGCCCAGAGAAGCCGTGCAAGTCGAGGAGAAGGCGGCGGTGTAGATTCGATCCTACAGCTTCTGACGACGAGCGGCATAAGCTTCGGGTCGGGTTCTTCCTCCGCTAACTCCTGCTAGGTAGGGAAGGGTCTCAAACCTGCATACACGCGCCTTCTTGCACGCTCTTTGGCCTCATCGCCAAAATGGGCTGGGTTTCGGAGCTCAATAGCATTGGAGCCGAGGCGTTGATGGTAGGTGCGAATGTGTTATATCTGCCTTTCGACTTCGGCGTCTACCTCGGCTTCTAGGCTTGTTTCGTGGCCTGGTTCTGTCGAGGCCTCTTTCATTAGCTTCTTCTTCAGCTTCCTCTCTGGTTGCTCCTCTGATCTTTTCTTCAGTTCTTTTTCTAACTGTCTCTTTAGTTTCCTCTCTCTCATATTCTCCAGCATCCTCTTTACTTCCTCCCTTCTCTGGTGGTAGGTTCTGTGGCTCCATGGCATCGGATTCATGGATAATACGACAGACGAGACATGATCTCGCGCCTCGGAGTGATTGCAGACGCTTGGACCTTGTTGATGAGATGGAGTTCTAGGTGTATGAACAGAACTTGGAAGATGTAAATGGTCTCGAACATCAAGAGGAGAGCCATTTTCATTGGATAGAGTATAGCCAAAGCGGTCGTAGACTTCAGAGCCCGCAGACGATGTATTATGACGTGCTTCTTCTTGGGCGTGGTCAATGGCCGATTCGACACGAAGGAACGTGTCGTCATAACTCGGAAGAAAATCGCTCGACGAATACAGTGGTAGCGTTCCCTGGGAGGCAGAGCCTAGATAGGATCGTGGACCTGCCATGGGTTCCTGTAGAGGGAGCTTGGTGGTGGGAATTATACTCGGCCCTAGATTCCTGAATAGGATGTGTTGGGCTGAATTTCGAGAGGTGGGAGACGTGAGATGTGGACATTACAGATTTCTGGAACGTATCGGTCATATGATCTCCAAGAACCATGGATCTCCACCCTAACTCCCGGACTTTGGTTCTATTGTACCCATCATATCTGCTTTTGTCTCTACTTGCTTTCTTTTCTGTTCGACGACATTGTGGAGCCCCTGGTCCGGTTTAGAGGATTCAAGGAGACAATGCAGACAAGTGGACACCTGGAACTGACCAAGGTCAGGCGGACTGGGTCGAATTGGCCGCTGTTAGTTTTCAACTCTCCCACCAGCGTGTGCCAAGAACAGCCATAATGCCTTGAAGCCTTGCAAGGCCGGCTTACTGAGGAGACAGAGAGATATAAAAGTAGCACGTTCGAAATATGCTTTAGTGCACAGAATAACGGCCTGAAAATACTGTAGCAATGTATGGAGAACCGTAGCTCTATCAATCGTCGACATATCAGTCATTGGGAGACAAAGGTTGAGACAGAGCGACAGAGCGACAGAGCGACAGAAGCGATCTCAGCTCCATGAAAAGTTGAATTCCTTTTGCAGAATTCAGACATCGTGATGGTAGATCGAGGTGAGGCAAAGGAGAGGCTGACGGAATAATTCTCAAGTGGGGCCATGAGCTATCCGCGTCGGGTTAGTCAAAATTGCAGTGACATTCGACGACACTCTTCGGATCATTTTCCGCAGGAACATCGTACACACACACTTCTAAGCAGAGGAACACGGAGAGGTACTGAGAGCGGTCCAAGGGCTTCATCTTGTAAGGTCAGCAGTAGTGATTTCGCGTCTTCGTCCTCATTGCACGCGATTTCGGACTCGCAGCCTAGTTGCAAGTCTTTGCTTACTCCTAGGTTCGAGCTAATGCCATTCCAACCTTGCCGCCAAGGTATCATTTGAACGCCGGTATCTATAAAAACAGAGGCGAAGCTAGACTCGCCGGACATATCGTCACCTTACAGCGAAGACCTCGAAGGTTGTCACAATAATGGCGAATCTGATGAACCTAAATGATGATTCTATGCGCCTTATCTTTGATCAGGTCCTCTTATGTTCTTTAAAGCGTTTTAGCTTTCAATAGCTAACGGTGAGAAGCTCGATGTCGACTGTCCACAATCCTTCAAGCAATTAGCATTGGTATCAAAAGGAGCCAAACGCCTCGCAGATTCCTTCAGATGGCGCTCCATCACACTGAGTGACGACGGACCTCTTTCAGCCACTTCAGAGCAGCTGATAATGCTCTTGCTCGATACCAACCACGACCTGTCGAAGCATGTTAGGCAGATCACAGTATCTGATTTCAAAGGGGACAAAGACTGGTTCAAGCTAGAGCAGGTGCTTTGCAATCTCAAATACCTCCAATCTTTTGCCTGGAACGCGAACCGACACATCCCTGAAGATTTTATATCAACTCTTGAAAACTGGTGGCCAGATGCAAACCTTTTCGTTAACAATCTTCGCAGACCGGAGGCAGAAAGAGAGTCAATACCACTAGACTGGCGCCTTCTCGGTTCTCCGTCACTCTATTCGTTGACATGCTTAGTTTTCCTCTACGATACTGTAGGGGACCTAGTGGTCGATAGCGGAGCTACAAATTACATTCTTCGACCACGGTCCGAACTTGAGGCAGTGAGACGAGTACTTGTAGGAAAAAGCCGACTCAGGATACTGAAGCTGGAAATTGCCTCAACCGAATCATGGAACCACCTTCCTGATCAGGTGTTTGCTATTCGTAGCGTTCAGTACTGGCAACAAGACAACCTTAATCTGCCTCTTCAGGCGGAGGACCGGCTGCCGCCGCTTCGGGAGTTCAATCTGCCAGGGAAAGCCCAGACCAAGCTTGGCTTCTACGATTTCACTCCAGAACACTGTAAGGCTTTGGAATATTCCATGGACTGGAGCCGCCTTAGATGCCTTGATCTAGGCAACCGTTGCCCTCCGCATTTCTTCAAGCGGTTTTGCGGGCGACTGCCAAATCTCCGATCACTGTATATCGGTCTCCGAAAAGCGCCGTACAATGGATGCATTGATGGATATGATGATCCGGCTATAGTCATCGATTTCATAAACTCTATAGATCGCTTAGAGTCACTCTCGATTATCAATGAGAGCATGGACTGGAATGTCTTGTTGCCGGCTATATCTAAGCAGGCGAAATCATTGCAAAGTCTCACAGCCCGCGCGCCAGTGGACCTGTCTAGATATCACAGTCCGGAATGGAGGAATTCGGATCTCGAAAAATTGGCGGGAGTCTGGAAGGGCCTGGAGCAGCTTGAGATCGATATGAACGACGAAGTATTTGAGCAGGTCAGTGCACATTCCAGAATAGAAGCCGCTGTATACCCCAATTAGACGGTTTATGGATCATGCCAACGTTAGAATTGCACCCGCAAGCGTTCATGGATCTATTGTTGGCCGTTCTTCAGCGCAGTCACTGGGGTATATTCGTGGTACCCAACCTGATCTGTAGTTTTCTTTCTGATTGAGTACGGCGCTTATTTTGCAGTAATTTATACTAACAACAAAGTCAGTTTTTGTGCGACTATTCCTGGCCTGTCTCCTTCAGTAGCTTGAAAACTGTGAAGATTTTTGTGCTTTGTGATATCAGTGGAGTGGACGAGGAGTGTCGGCTCGACATTCAGGAGCCGATCGCAAGAGATGTGGAGAGTCTCTTCCATAGCTCTCACCAAAACCGATTTGCTACCAATCTACAACGCTTAGATTTATGTTTCATAGAGCGAAGTTGTGGGCGAGCTGGCCTATGGACTTTCAGCGAGTGGGGAATTGAAGTTACACGTGGTAATCACATGGCTGGCGGTCTCCTTGAGAAAGAGAACTTAGACGTGAAGAAAGGAGCCCGATGGGGGCTGATTAAAGTCGATTTTAATTCTGTCTTCTCGACTCGGATCTTGCCTAGTGTGCATTGAAAGCCTATTGGCGATGGACATCATGAAGCGAATCTTGGCATGGCTTCGAAAAAGACACCATAATAGCATGTAGGGGCTGGCTTACGGACCAACACTTGCTATTTGATTACGGTCTACTTCCAGTATCAATACAATGGCATCTAGCATTTCGGCAATGACGTGAAGTCTACTGAGGGACCTGCGATGTGATCGGACAACCCGAAAGACTCCACATCGGTCAGACTTGTCACGATGTAGTGAGCCTTCTCAATACTGCGCTTACCGCTTGCCATCACGCTTGAACCTCGAAAGGAATTTGGTCAAGCCCGTGACACACCGAACTGGACTAGCGCCAGGCCGTGCACCACCGACGTCAAAAACTCTTCTCCGCGCCCGTCGCTTCCTCCACGTTACATATAACTAAGGTCTCCAATGCTCCTGGGCGGTCGCAAACATCTCCGTTGGCTGTCCATATTTTCGATTGACCGAGAACGACGAAGTTCCTTTCTAATCCTGGGGCTCACGATCCGCGTGGCTGTGTCTTTTCTGACGCGCAGCGAGCGCTTGAGAGCTTCGGGTTCGCTTTTAGGGCAACAGATTTTCCTCCGAATGTGCAATTGCTATTCGGACCGTTGGCTCGTGGTTTTGGTTGCAAAGGCTGTGTCTTACTTGACGCTCTGATGTCAATATTGAGGTCCGGGGAAGCGCGAGGTGCTGTTCTATTTGAGTTTTACACAGCCTCATGCTGGAGATCCCCACGACCCCCGTGCCCTCCTGATTAAGCTTCCTTCACAACCCTTCACAACGGCAGACAGTCTCTTGCGGCGAGAAAATGTGAAACGGGACGGGATCCATTGCCTGTTCCTATTGCGCGTGCCGGAATTCACCTTATCGGACCGTCCTCTGGCTTAAGCCGTGGGTAGTGTGTGGAAATAAGCACTGATCTTATCTTAAAAAAGCCGTCTCTATCCCACATCAGGGATGGCAGGACGCCTGAACATGAACCGCAAGGAGCCACATGAAAGACAAGCATCCTCGGAAATTCTCGTGGAAGTAACGACGTCGTGTACGGAGGATGGGGCCCTCCGTTTGGTCAGGAGACATCTGGCAGCATCAAGCCTAGAGTTGTCCCGACTTTATTCGGCAAGGTTCACTGTAATGTGATATCATTGAAGTTGTACAGAACAGTCAACAGGATGTCAGCAGTATTGGCGTGATGTTCCCAACCATAGGTCGCCTTTTTCCCCATGGCTAGACCGGCGCACAAATCGTGAACTTGTGCAACGGCCCGTCATCGCGCTCGTGCTTCTGGGTCGATTCTGTGCTCCCGCTGGCAGTCGTTGCCAACTGCCTCCATCGCGGAACGTCACCGATATCGTGTTCGTCCCGAGATGGGCACCATGTCCCCCCGGCCAGTCGCAACATCGAACGAGTCAAGAGCGACGGCGGGAGGAAGAGGCGCGGTGCTTACTTCGCCGCCTGCAGTTCCCCCGGCGTGCGGCTGTGAGGTTGAAGGACCTCACCGCACTCTCTCTTGCATACCGAGGCCACGCCGGCTCGCGCTGTTTGATCGAGATGAGCGGAAATTTCAAACGGCTACGGCCGCCATGCGAGGTCGAGAGGGCGTCTAGATGCTGGCATGCAGCTCGACAGCGCAGCCGCGTTGTCTCGTGAGAGCCACCATGCCAGGATGCCGCAGCCTCCACCACGGTCTTGGCTCTCACCCTTCAACGCTCAGCCCTCAGCCCATTGGATTCGGCGGCAGGGCGCCGCACGTCCACCGAGGGCAGACGAGGGACCTGCCGCTGTGTCACTGTCAGCGCCATCCTGGGGCGCGGTCAATCAAGTAAGACTGCTGAAGATCTCCTCCATCTCTCCACCCACCCTTCAGCCCTGTGCTGCCACACGTCTTTCCTCATCCCAAGCTGCTGGTTCTCGTGTCTTCGTCTCCCCTCCCTCTCATGCGGCCCTGCCACACTCCACGGGCATTCCTTTATGCCATTTAGAGCCTGTGATTTGACTCGACCATGGCGCACGCGCTGTTTTGCATAGTTGTCGCCCTTGTGTTTGCCGCTAAATCCTTGCAAGACACCAAAGATCCTCTGAACGATTTCTGCCGCCGCTTTGGACACCAGACTGCTGTTATTGATAGGAAACTATACATTGACGGGGGCTTGGTGCAATGGAATCCCATATCCGCAAATCCATCAAACTTTACTAGTATGTACTGTTCAAAACATCGGTCTCAAATATTAGACCGCTTGCTGACCTGGCGCAAGATACATGGCTCCTCTACAATGACCTTAACACGACCACCGACGACGGGGGAATGCCCCAGCTACACGCGAACTTGACGAAGAACAGCTCCATACCAAGCGTTTCTGGTGGCATATTATGGACCGACGAAGCCAACAAAGTATTCTACCTATATGGTGGAGAATTTCAAAATTCTCCTGACGATTTTTCATTCTGGCTGTACGACACCGTGTTGAACCAGTGGAACCACACAGACGGCGTGCTGCAGGGTATCGAAAGAGTTGCTTGGGGCGCGGGCACGACGATAGATGATCTTGGATTTGGCTTCTACTATGGTGGATGGATGAACAATCAGACAGTGCCAGGATGGAATGGCGCTCCGCTTGCCACAAGTAACCTCATCAAGTACGACATGAACACCAACACATGGACAAACAATACTGGACCAGACAACATGGGCAGAGCAGAAGGTGTAATGTCGTATCTGCCCGCTTCGGACGGGGGAATGCTCGTGTATTTCGGCGGCGTGGAGGACCCGTATAACGATGGGACTGTCGTCGGCGCCAACATGAGTGTAAGGTGTTTTGTGATATGCGCTGGATCACTTTGCTGACTGTGCCTAGGAAATTCATCTATTTGATGTAGCATCATCGAAATGGTACACTCAAAACGCGACCGGAGACATTCCGGACATGCGGCGGAAGTTCTGTGCTGGCGTCACGTGGGCTGACGACCATTCATCTTATAACATGTAAGACACACCGCCACGACCTGCTCCTGGCATCTGGGAACTGACGCAGGCAGCTACCTCTACGGCGGACAAGGTATTCATAACATCACTGGATTCGATGACGCCTACGTTCTTAGCGTACCTTCTTTCAAGTGGGTGAAGGTGTACGGAGAAGGGACGTCCCCCCATGGCATCAGCAGCTGCAACGTTATCGACAACTCGCAAATGCTTGTCATCGGAGGCTACTTTGCGAATACTGACAGCTGCGACTCTCCGAACGTATGGGGAACCCATAACATGAATTTGGGCGAGAATGGCCCTGCAAACTCGCTGTGGGACCAGTATCATCCGAATATCACCAAATACCTCGTTCCTACGCCGATCATTTCAGTAATTGGTGGCGGGTAAGTGAGGAAGTCCCCTGTGCTGAGACAGTTCTAACAATGTGCAGACCTACTGGCGGAGCAACAGCTACGAAGCCCGTGAGCGATTGGAGCAACCCCGATCTTTCTGTCTACTTTACTCGTGTTCCCACGTTTGCTGCTCGTACGGCAACACGGTATTTCCCGAGTGGAACCTCAGCACCAGGGAATGGCACGAGTCACCATAATAGCCACGTCGGTGCCATCGCCGGAGGTACAGTTGGCGGTCTTGCTTTCCTTATACTCGTACTCCTCCTCGCGCTCTTCTGTCTTCATCGCCACAAGAAGAACCTCAAGAACAAGCCAGCACCCCAGGCTCCACCTCCACCACCCGTGGAGCTTCCAGTGAACAACTCGGCTACCGAAATGAGCGCCGTTGCCGAGAACCCCTCGAAGTGGGGTAACTCTCACTCTCCCGGTGCCCAAAGCGCTGCTCCATCCTACAATCATCAGCCCTCTCCTTACGGAACTCCACCTAATCGCGCCGCTGAATACAATACCCCAATATCTGCTTATCCAACGCAACAAGGCAGCTACCCCTCAAGCCCACATACTTCATACCCACCGCAGCCATACCCTCCAGTAACCTACCCGCCATCCGCATATCCCCCAGGCACCTACCCGCAAGGCTACCAAGACCAACCACAGCAGCAATACGACCCCCAACTCTCCCCCAACGATCCTCAATACGCCGCCGCCTACGCCCAGCAGCAGCAACACCAACATCGCCGTACCCTCTCCAACCCTCCGTACGACCCCTCCCGCGACGCCATGGCTAGCGAGCACTTCCCACCACCCCGCTCCCCATCTCTCGCCGTCCCTGCGCCTGTCACCCCTACCTCAGCGACAACACGGGGTGGCTACGAGAGCGTGAACCCGGACGACTACGACTCCCCGCCTAGCAAGACCAACACGCCTGCGCACTTCTACCCGCAACCGCTGAATGTGCGGTCAGTGAGTGGCGAGCAGCGGCCGATCAGGGGGCGGTTTGTTGAGGTGCAGGATGACGAGTTTGCCGGTGGACAGAGGCAGTTTTAATAGTATGTGAATATTTAGCGTGGGATGTTTACGACGTTTTCCTGTTGATACTCCTTTATGTTTTTGAGCGCGGCGTACTTTGGACTTGGTTGGGTTAGCGGAGTTCCTGGGTTGTGCATAGCGTGGGATCTTGGGCTGGTGACACGGCAATGTCTGAGCGTGTTGCGTAAAGTTTAATGCGATGGGGGCCGGATTGTATGCCTGTGGTCAATGGTGTTGGATAAGAACTTGTGGGTGATGGTCCTGAGAAAGGTATCGGGGTTTGTATAATCTCGTTTTATGAGAAAAATAATACTAGGGAACCGCGGTCCTGAATTGTTGGTCTACTTATTTCTCTTTCGTTTTGCTTGCTTGCGATCCGTCTTTTCACGTGTCAGTCTCTAGTCTGCGTCTTCTTAAAGAGCGTATTTAATTGTTGCGCTGGTGTGTGTATTGATGGGGTCTAGAGAGCAAACAGAGGCGCCTACCTACAATAAGTAGTATGAGCTTGCCAAGGCACTAGGCTACATAAGGCAATCGGGAATACCTACCTAGTAATGTAGGTATACTGTTCCGGAGCGCCACACTCGCCAACGCTGGAAAGTCTGGACCAACCAGACACAGCCACGAATTAAATGCCTCGGATAAAGCTGCACTTGCATGACAACCCTTGACGAGCTGAAGAGGATCCGCGTTTCCTCTAAGCTCGCGGTGCTAACGACTCATTAGCTGACTTATTCCAACACGGTTGATTCTCGCCCAATTTTGAGAAGCTCAACCTTTGAGGATAGACTCCGAGAGACCCAGTCGCTTTTTTTTTTTGGTAATTGCAGAAATGGCCCCATGGAGTCGAACAAAACGCCTCGGATCTAGGTAGAGATCCGCAAAGCCGGTAGTGCAGCCTGGTAGCGCGGTGAGCGATAGCTATGAGCCTATAACTTAGCTGAAATGCTCACGCCTCTCAAAAGCTCGTAGATGAGTCGAAAGTTGGGCTAGAGGATGATGTTGCAGCCTCGCCTACAGAAGCAGACGCCAAAAGATCTGTGGGACGAAGCCTACAATCTATTTCGGAATGACAAGGACAAGAAGAAGCTCATGGACGGGTATGAGAAGTTTCTGGAAACCCCACCGTCTTCGCAGGACTCTACTCAGCCAGGTCAGTTTGCGCAGCATCGGCCTCGTTACAGTACTAGGCCATAAGTCTGGGCATACGGGCCTATCACTTGCTTGGCCCCAAAATTGCTCACTAGACACCACTGCGAGGAGGAGCCCAGCGAGTACGCAGCCAGTTACTCAAGAGTCAGTCTAATTTGCACTACTTGAAACCTGACATCACGCCTGGGGGGGTACCCCAAGCTGTGGCAATGACGTATGCACAGACTTCTGACCTGTCATTGTATCTACGCTTTTGTATTCCACCGACAGGCTAACTACGTCTATAGATGCATTCAGTAAAGAGACATCTACAAAGGCTAAGGAGATACCTTTGAAAGACAGAGAACGGGAAATGAAACTCGAAAAGCTTGTTGACGTGAAACGCTAAGCCGTGGAAGCAGCTCGTGCTAGGCTCACCATCGGTAAAGAGACGTACGTTATCAAAGAGAAAGTCGACAAAATTATTTCTGCAATCATCTATGCCAAAGATTTCATTACTGCTGCTGCTAGTTTAGAACCACACGCAGCACTCGCATGGGCTGGCGTCTCGGTCCTGCTTCCGGTAACTCTACTCAGCCGTTATATAATAGCAACTCCAGGTACTGAAGAGGCTGTATAGTTGCTTTTGAATCCAGCTACCCAGGACATTGACGCGCTTGATGGTCTTGAGTACATTTCGGATCTGCTCATCTGATTCAGGACCATAGAGATCACTTACAGGGAAGGCAACATATTCACATCTCCAACAACACCGCAAGTGTAATCTACCCCCACGCTCCTTAGTTACCCATAGAAACTAACGCAGTCTACTTCAGCGAGACTGAAGTACAACAACTTGAAGTCGCCTTCGAATCCAAAACAGTAAAGCTATATTCTCAAATACTAGAACATCAAATTCGACTCGCCTACCAATGTACACGGGTCAAAATATCTCGCTCCTTCAGAGATATTGTGCTCGCCGATGACTGGAAAGCTATGCTCACCGAGGTGAAGGAGTGTGAACAAAGCATTAGTAAAGACCTGCATGTAATTGATGGCCATATGATTATGGCAATCAATGTCAAAACATCAACATTGGTCGATTCGATGAGGAAAATGGAAATCAGCGTTGAGGTGAGATTCCCTCCTGGTTTCTTACTAAGTCATGCTTATCTCTTCTCTGGTCAATCGAGCAGCGCTCGCATCGTGAAGAACGAGAAAGATATTTACATAGGTTGCCGCGTGCCGAAGGCGCCGCCTTTGATTCCAATAGGCTTCAGCATGAGCCACTGTGTCTGAAGGATACGCGGGCCAGTATGCTCCGCTTGATTTACGAATGGAGTGAGACGCCTCATGGCCAACACGTGTTCTGGCTTAGTGGAATGGCAGGGACGGGAAAATCCACAATCGCCCGCACCGTTGCGCGCCGCTTCTCCGAAAGAGGACAACTTGAGCCAGTTTCTTCTTCGCGAAAGGCAAGGGTGCTCTCGCCGATGCCTCCAAGTTTGTGTCGACCCTCGCATTCCAGCTGTCCAATTTTAGTCCTGGTATCGCTGAACGCATGCAAAAGCGATAGCTGATCATCCAAACAGCGAGCGGACGAAAGACCAATGGGAGTATTTCATCCGGAAGCCATTGTCCGAAATCGATACTCCGTTAGTCATAATCTTTGTTATCGATGCGCTAGATGAATGCGACAATCAGGACGATGTTCAATTACTCCTTCAGCTTTTCAAGAATTCAAGGGATGTCGGCAACGTCAAGCTACGAATTTTCGTCACGAGCAGGCCAGAGCAGCCAATCGACCTTGGAGCACGTTTCAGGAAGAAACAGGACGAGATATTTCGGCTTTTTTACAGCATGAGCTCACGCTAGTCCGTAAAAAAAGCGGCCTTGCGGAAGACTGGCCAAAAGTCAAAGATGTGGAAAAGCTGGTGCAGAAAGCCAATGGCCTCTTCATCTATGCTGCGACTGCGTGCAAGTTCATTGGGGACACGAATTTTCTTCCGAAGAAGCAGTTGTCAACACTTCTGAAGAAGAGTGTTCGCGGCAACTCACAACGGCAGAAACTTGATAAGATGTACATGCAGGTTCTAACGCAGTCGATTTTGAGTGACTGCGAGCTATACGATCAGCCAAGGGTCTTAGAAAGGTTCAGAAAAGTCGTGGGATACATTGTGATCTTATGCGAGTCACTACGCGTAAGAGATCTATCTCATCTACTCCCAGCCGGAGGAGGGGAAAGTGGAGGTAGAGGACAGAGGGACACCAACAACGAAGAGGACGACGAGGACGACAAGAGCGACGAGGACGACGAGAGTGACGAGAACGACGAGAGTGGCGGCGATAATGAGAAAGATGAGAGGGAGGATCCGGAAGAGGAAGTGAAGATCACATTGAATGAGCTCGGATCGGTCTTGGACGTGTCGAACCTTACTGAAGTCGCTCCCTAACTAATTCACCCATCCTTTCGCGACTTCCTTCCCGATGAAAAAAGTTGTACCGATCTTCGGTTCTGGGTTGATGGGAAAAAGACACATACAGATTTGACACGAAGCTGCCTTGAGACTATGTCTAAGAGCTTACGGAAAGATATTTGCAATCTACGCTTACCAGGCACTCTTGCAGAGGAAGTTGATCGAAGCAAGGTCGAAGAGTGCATTCCCGCACAGCTGCAATATGCTTGCTCATATTGGATTCGCCACTTGCAAAAGAGCCTCGTCGACCCTTCTCTTCTTGAGACAGTGTGTACATTCCTCAAGCAACATTTCCTTCACTGGTTCGAAGTGCTCAGTCTGTTGAGGAAAATGGACGAAAATACTTCGATGCTGGTAACTTTACATGACCTAGTCCAGGTGAATTTCCCTTTCCTAGTCTACGCGCTTGTTAACTTTGTTTCAGATCCCAAACCACCAACGATTGTTCGATTTAGTCCGTGACGTATACCGCTTCGGTATGACGCATCGTTCTACTATCATCCAGGCGCCACTTCAGACGTATTGTGCTGCTCTGATATTCAGCCCATCTAAGAGCAAGGTCAGGGCACTTTTCGAAGGACAAATTCCATCGTGGGTCAAGCTTAAGCCATCAGTCCCAGAAAACTGGACCTCACTGCTGCAGACTCTCGAAGGCCACTTGGACACGGTCCAATCCGTAGCTTCCTCGGGCGACGGCCAGAAGATTGTGTCTGGATCCAATGATAAAACCGCGCGGATATGGGACGCACGGTCCGGCTCGCTATTGCAGACGCTAGAAGGTCACTTAGACTGGGTCTGTTCTGTAGCTTTCTCGGGTGACGGCTAGATGATCGTATCTGGATCCGGTGATAAAACCGTGCGGATATGGGACGCAAGGTCAGGCTCACTACTACACACGCTCGAAGGCAACTCGACGATTTTGTCCGTAGCATTCTCAGACGACGGCCGGAAGATCTTGTCTGGGTCCGATGACTGTATTGCGCGGGTATGGGATATAGGGTTAATCTCGCTACCACAGAGCTCGCTACCACAGACGCTGGAAGGCCATTTAGACTCGGTCCTGTCCGTAGCGTTCTCAGGCGACGCGCAGAAAGTTGCATCTGCCGAAGATTATACCGTGCGGATATGGGACGCACAGTCTGGCTCGCTGCTGCATGCGCTCGAAGGCTACTCAGTCCTAGTCACTTCAGTGGCGTTCTCAAGAGGTAGCCAGACGATTGTGTCCGGGTCTTTGGATTTCGCTGTGCGGATATGGGACGCAAGGCCAGGCTCGCCACTACATCCACGCGATGTAAACAACGAGGTAGTGCGCAGCGAGGTCTGGTCAGTGGCACTCTCGGCCATCGGCCAAAAGGTCGTATCCGGACATCAGGACAAGACCGTACGGGTGTGGGACGTAGGGTCAAGTTCGCTACTACAGACGTCTAGAGGCCACTTGGACCAGGTTACCTCAGTCGCGTTCTCAGGCGACGGCCAGAAGGTCGTATCTGGATCCAATGATAATACCGCGCGGGTATGGGCTGCAGGGCTAGATATGGACCTACAGACGCCTACAGGCCATTCTGAGAAGGTTTGGGCGATCGCGTTCTCTCCTAACGGTCAGAAGATTGTATCAGGATCTGAAGATACGACTGTGCGGATATGGGACGCAGGGTCAGGCTCCCTACCACACACGCTCAAAGATTTTACAGGATACATTCGGTTAGTGGCGTTCTCGAGTGACGGCTGGAAGATCGCATTAAGAACACAGGGGTCGGCATACGGGCAGGTTTGGGACCTAAAATCCGGCACGCTACTAGAAGAAGACGACCTGAACCCTGTTAGTACAGCAGCTCCTTCGAGTGGCGTCCCGCTTTGGAAGCCAGACGTCAAAGACTAGTGGATAACACGTTGCGAGAAAAGAGTAGTTTTGCTCCCTGATGGTCGTCAAGCTGACGAACTAGTAATAATGGTAGCACGCTTGCAATAGGGTCTCACACAGGCTTTGTAACTATCGTTCGGCTTGACTTGGAGGGAGAATGTTATATATGATCGATCATTGCTTCTTGCATTTTCTGGAAGGCATCGTTACAATGACTTGTCATTGATGTCCGTCCACTTGTTTACCGCGGCATGAGAAGCTTCGTAGTATTTTCAGTAATCCAAATAAGAGAGAAGTTCGGTATTTTGGACAACTAGTAAACTTGCGAGGCTACCTCAGACAGCGCCAAAAGAACGTATGCAGATTGGAAGTGTGTCCGCTTGCCCCGGTTTCTATTAGTACGTTGAAGCCCCACAGACAGTGGCAGTAAAGTGCACGGATATCTATGGCAAGGCATTGTAGCTACTACATGGAATTCGGACGCAGTCCACCGCACTTTAAGTTTAGCTGGTGCTGTATGTACAACCTCCCCAGTACTTGTAAAGTGAAGCACGTGCCTATTGTGGTGATGGTACATAGGTGAAGCATAGGTGAAGTGAGACAACCCATCCCCAGTCTCTCAGGCAACCTTCTCACGTGAGTTCATAACTTTTCCACATCGCCCCGACGTTCTTCCTCCTCCATCCATTCCATCAAAGCACTCTATTTCCTCTCTTCTCACTCTACCTACAGCTCTTACTCCTCTCCCACCAGCTTCTCTCACCCTTAACTGCTCCGCCTGGCACGCCTCAACCTCCCACGCCACAGTCAAGCAACAACAGTAGCCATCACGCAGAAAACCTGACCGCACAGTAGCAGCGGAAATTTCTCAGTCAGGTGTGCTTGCTGACCTTCTCTAGATCTAAACCTCCTCGAACAGCTCAACCTCACTTGTCCGGCCTCCACATCTAGTGCGTGCGAGCTGCCACGGAGAACCCTTCCGTCGATGCTTTATATATCTCCACAGCTCGAATCCGAGTATTCCTTTCGCTTTTGCAGTTCCAAGATTCCTTGGAGGTCTCTTGCGATGACCACTGTTCCGAAAACGAAACACTGGGCTATTCGCCCACCAAGCATACAAGAAAATCCACGAAACATGCCACACATTAATTAGCGATTGACTTGACAGCCCATCAGCTCAAGAACCCTGTGATTTGGTTCCGGTAGGCAATTCTTAACGACCACAAAAGACACAACTATATCACGCTCCGATGATATAATCGCCAGTCTATTCCGGGTGTTCAGTCGAACGCTCAAAAGCCCACCTCGACTCACCAACCCGTGACCGACAATCCCAGGCCTACCCAATCCGAGCTGGGCAGGGTGCCTGCACTCGAACCTGGCGATCGCTGTCTCGACAGCTCTTGCTGGTACGGTCCGGTGAAACACCCGCGATCGTCTTTTTTTGAACTTTTAGATATCGAGCTCTGAATCTCTCGTTCTCCCACCACTGTCAATTCTAGGATGAAGCATCTCGAACCTCCTCGCGCGAGTATTCAAATACCGAGATCTTCCCACCGCCTAGCCCCCTCTATATACCTCTCAGCCACTGGCGTACCCTTACAAACAATCCACAATCATACTCTCGAACCAACTTTCGAACCCCGCCTATCTCGACGACGAGGCTTCGGGTCGTAAACCCCCTTGCGACTGGCACTTCGCTGTGTAGCGGAACTTGCGAAATCTAGGCACCGGAGCTCCTTTCGAGGAGTCTCACTATCATACTAACCGCTTTTGTCAACCTTGGACGCATCTTGCTTCGTCTGTACAAGCCAAACTCGGATGACCACCGACTCCACTGGGTGGGCTCAGTTAGCATGGTTGACTCACACTTCTTGAGTAGTCTTCGACTGCCTCGATATTTTCAAGTCACAACTAGTGGCCTCTCCGCGAGCTACATCTGGTAACACGCGGGCCCGTCCCTATGTTCCTGGGCCAGCAGGAGGCTCAAACCCTTTGTTATCTTCTCTTATTTCAAATCTCGATCTCGAGCTTTTGCGATCCCAGATAACTACCAAAAGCTGCGAACTCGGAACACTGGAAGCTCCTAGAGCGACTATCATACACTCTTGGATAGACATCCGTCTCGCCCCATAGGACCGCACCGATCCCAGGCTTTCTGACTCTAAGCGCCGGCCCCATGCTAGGCCCTTCTTTTCAACAACCCCGGTGATCCCCTAGAGAGAACCAAACTACTACTCTGGGTAGACACACACCCGTCCTGCCCCATGGGGACACACCGATGATAGGGTATCTCTTTCGATAGCGCCTGGTTCATACCACGCTTTTCTCGTTGATACCCTCGCGTAGGAGTAACAAGGATATGGTTTTGTTCAGGCTTTTTCGCTGTAAGTGTTACCCCGCATACCCTTGTAGAGTAGTTGATGTGGGTAAGTCTGCGTGATGGCTGTGCATGGTTGCTTGAATTCGCCACATTTCCGGACTCGATCGACTACGAACTGGATACTGGAGGAGCTGAAGATGGGTATTTTGTCCCGGTTCAACGATCAGAATCTAGCAGCTGAGTACCATCCCACCTATTGCTACTAACCGCAGCTCTATCGTCAAAGCACGTAAGCTCATCTCGTGGCGTATTCTGGCCTCCATTACTGTCATCTCATCTCATCCCCACCACATCACCAGCTTGTATCGTCATCTCATCTCTCATCATCTTCACCATTGCACTGCTTTTCATCCTCCAGCCGCCTCCCGATAGAAAGCCACACTCCCATCTCCCCCCGCCAGCGCAAATAGCTCGCTCCGTCCGGTTTTGGGCAGCCATTTCACCGCCCACAGCGGCTGGTCGCCGTGAGAGTGTGTGGCGACGCAGGTGCGGGATTCGAGGGACCAGACTTTGGCTTTGCTATCATGAGATCTGTAATAACTCATTAGCATCGTGTAAATAAATACCAAAACCTTTGACCACGCCCAAAATATGCTTGAGAATGACAATGTTTATGTGAACGAGGGAGGGAGGTAAGGAGAGGGGGATGATCAACGCACCCACTCAGCAACCACTCCCCCGTCGCGCTCCAATCTAGGTTCAGCACCCACCCTGCGTGGCCGGATAGATTGGCGACTTGCTCGCCTGAGCTTACGTCGTAGAGGGCGATGATGCGGGTGTCGCCGGCGGCGGCGAGGAGCTTGCTCGCGGGCGAGAAGGAGAGGGTGCGGATTGGTTTTGTGAGGCCTGTGGATGTTAGAATGGTAGGAAGGAGTTAGTGGGAGATGGGATAAGGGGTCCACTTACCGGCTAGAGAATGCAGCATCCGTCCCGTGTCGTTGTTGAAGACGTAGACGCTGCCGTTTTCGTGACCTGAGGCTGTGAAATGGCCGTCTGCGGACTGTATCGAAATCTTGATTAGCTCTCATGTCTGGAGAAACGTGTTTCTCTTGCATTTTAATAGAGAAGATGAGGAGATCATGGGCTTGCAACGTACCAGATCTATACACATCCCGAAACTACCCTTGGTCTCATACTCGCGGATCTTAGGCATTGAGGCCTGGCCTAGGTCCCACACGTTGATGCGGCCGTCATAGGTCGTACTGGCAAGGTAGGAGCCGTCGGCTGAGAGGGCGATGGCCCAAATTTCTCCGGCTTTGTTGGAGTCTGGGGTTTGTTAGCACTCTGAGTGGTATATGATGTCGGTGGTTGCGATTGAGAGATACCATATCAATAAAAAATCGCGAGAGAATAAACGAGAGCGGATAAATGAGAGCCTAAGCATTGAGGGGAATAGAGATTGTGGTTTAGGATCTTTGCTTTACCTTTTATGAGCCCAACCTCTCCCCATACTCCCGCCTCATCTTCCCTCCACACCTTGACTGTTCCCTCGAACCCAGCACTCGCCGCTACCTTTCCATCTTTACTTGTGACTAGGTGGTGTACACCCAGTTTATGCGCGCCTTCTATGCTCTGTGTGAGTGGAAAGTCGGGAGCTGTCGTGTCGAATATGCGGATTGTGGAGGACCCGGAGGCGGAGAGGAGCGTCGTGGGGGTCGCTGCGAGGGCAAAGATGTCGGTTGGGTGGGCTATAAGTGAATTAGTTGTTGATCCAGGGGTAGAGGGACAGAGGAGCTACCCTTGTCGACCGTGTGGAGAGTGAGGAATTGTTTCGACTGCGGAGCTGTTAGACGACTGCAGGGCAGTTCGAGGGTGCAGATAGCTTGCCATTATCGCAGAGGGATTGATCGAGTATAGGGATTATCGGTATAGCTCAGACATGGTACCTCAGATCAGAAACTGGGGTTGTGGTGTTGTAGGAGGTTGGATAGTGGGAGCTGGTGGGGTTCAAGATGAGGTCGAGCTTCAAGCTTCAATGCCTTATGACGCGTGTTATTTCGCGCTAAAATCATTTATAGATCATTAAAGCACTTGACACGGAACTCTGGAGGATTTAACATAGGTCGGTGTATTTTATACATAGTGGTTTAACGCGTATCCTCCCGCTTCAACCCTATTTCACAAGTTTATACAGTATGGTGTTGATAAAAAGGTACCCGAACTCCCGCAATGCGCTTGCAATATGCCCATACCTCCCAGTGCCAGTGCTTATGATGGCTGATCGCCGTCTGTTGGTTGGTCACTCTTCATTGCTGCAGCCGTATCCGAATCCCCTCTCAGCTTCCTCTTGAAATATTGCTTTATCGCTGAGAACATTAGCAAGACTGCAAAGCACTTTATGCTAGGCCCGGAAACCTACATTCCACGCAGTAAGGACACAGATGGTTCGCCAATTTGATATTCCCACACCCCGAACACCGATTCAATGCCGTGACATCCTTCAATCCTTTGCCTGCCATGAACCGATGCCTCTTTTTCATATGTGATGTCTTCTTCTTCGGCACGGCGCGTAGCACTGATTCCCATATATCGCCGAGCAATGATGGGATGGATGCGACCGAGGCTAGGGAAATTGGTATGCGGAGTGATTCGAAGAGTGGCTGATGTAGTCGGCGGAGGAGCGGTATGGCGATGGGGCGTATGGGGGCGTTGGCGGCGGGGAGGAGGGTGTTGAGCAGCGGCGGGAGCTGGCGGAGCGCCATGACGGGCGATAGAATGTGTACTGCGATGGAGACGCAGTAGCGGAGTGAATTGACGGAGGTTTGATGTCTGGTGGTTGCTGTATGGAAAGAATTAAGACACGGCGCTTTCCGCGTCGGGCCTAGAGGCGCGTCGCTTCCTTCTCCCCCTTTCCGCAGGACATGGGCCGCATCTGTGCTCAGAAAGACCCTTAGACCACCACGATAACTTTCTCAACCGCACTCCGACCCAGCAACTCGCCCCCGTATCTCGAAACTCCCCCATCTACACCTTCTCGCCGTCTCTCGCCGCCCAGAGGCATCCGTCGCCCGCAATGGCCGCCACCGCCAACTCCGTCTACCCCAAGAGCTATGTCGGGTTCGACAGCATCACCTCGCAGATCGAGAAGAAGCTCGTCAAGCGCGGCTTCCAGTTCAACATCATCTGCGTCGGTACGTGTAATGAGGATAGTAGTGTTATATTCTCGCGTCTAACATCTCGCAGGCCAGACCGGACTCGGCAAATCCACCCTCATCAACACCATCTTCGCCTCACACCTGATGGACAGCAAGGGCCGCCTGTCGCCTGAGGAGCCCATCCGCAGCACCACTGAGATCCAAGCTGTGTCACACATCATCGAGGAGAACGGCGTGCGACTACGCCTTAACATTGTCGACACCCCTGGCTACGGCGACTTGATCAACAACGAGCGCTGCTGGGACCCCATCGTCAAGTACATCAAGGACCAGCACAGCGCCTACTTGCGCAAGGAGCTGACTGCTCAGCGTGAGCGGTACCTCCAGGACACTCGCATTCACTGCTGCTTGTTCTTCATCCAGCCCTCGGGCCACGCCCTGAAGCCCATTGACATTGTTGTCTTGAAGAAGCTGTCTGAGTTTGTCAACGTGGTCCCTGTGATTGCGAAGAGCGATTCTTTGACCCTGGAGGAGCGCGCGGCGTTCAAGGAGAGGATAAAGGAGGAGTTTGCTTTCCACAACCTGAGGATGTACCCGTATGACAACGAGGAGCACGACCAGGAGGAGGTTGCGTTGAACGCGTCCATCAAGGTAGCTCTAACTACTCATTTGGCTAATTGAGACAATTACTGATGAGACCATAGAACATTCTCCCGTTCGCCGTCGTCGGCTCCGAGAAGACCATCGTCGTTGCAGGCAAGCAGGTTCGCGGCCGCCAGAACCGCTGGGGCGTGATAAATGGTATGCTTCAGAGCTACATGACCGCGTGAATATCCAGCTAATACTGTGTAGTTGAGGACGAGAACCACTGCGAATTCGTCTACCTTCGCAACTTCCTCACCCGCACCCATCTTCAAGACCTCATCGAAACCACCTCGCAGATCCACTACGAGTCTTTCCGCGCCAAGCAGCTGCTTGCCCTCAAGGAGAGCTCCGCTGTTGGTGGCCACGGCTCGCGACCCATCTCACCCAGCGCCGACCGGGAACTTAGCCGGAACAGCCAGCGTATGACGATGAACGGATACTAGGTCAATACACCATCTCCCGGCGCATTGGTTGGGGCAGATGCAGTGGCGGGGCTTATTACGGAGTCGGTAGGAGTGAAAGCAGCAGTAGTAGTGTGATACCCGTGCATGTCTTTACCAGTTTACATGTACGACATTCAGACGGAGAAAACTAGGAACAGGGCTAGCGCAGGTGCTGGGGAATTTTGTTCTTTCTTCCAATTGAAGGGTGTTAAGCTTCTTTTGCTACTGGCTGCAGCTTTTAGTCTCCCTTTTGTTCGCACGGTTAGCGTTAGGAATGACTCATCGAGGCAGGCTGGTTTGCTGAGATGGGCTGTAGAGAGTCTTAATATCTAAAATAGGATTATTGGTTCATTTGATGTGGGTTTATGTTCGAGAAGTGCTTTTAGATTGTGGAACCTCTCAGGTGTCGTATCACATCTTGATACGATAAGCACATTATATGGTGAGTCATGTGACGACTTGGGACTTTCAGATACTGAGTAGCTGACTACTAGAAATAACTAACAGTGCTGGCCCTCTAATCTGAGTATAGATTGTGTTGATGGGTACTGACTGGCTCGGAGGCTATCCCCCGAGGCCCGAATGCTTTTCGGAGGACTTTCAATACCCCCGGAATCCGAAACGGACCTCAGATTGTCATGATTACCAAAACAGCTGAGGAGAATACTGCCGTGAAGACTTGCATCTTGTGGCTAATTTGGTACGTGTGGCATGTTTAAATCTAGGCAAAGTAGCATCTAATATAAACATCCTCCAACATAGAGTTTTTCCGAATATGAAAGTTTATCCGAACATAACAATTTATCCGAACAGCGTAAGGGTGGTTTCTGAGTGAGTCAAGCTAGAGTTCGGCTTTAACCGACGACGACTCATCCCGATACGGCCACAACAAGGCCTACAGGAGACCAATTCACGGGGGTTCAAATTATGATTTGCTCCGGAGAGCATTTTTCAATAATGCTGGATAACCAGTCCCTCCGACCATCGGCTTCCATCCGAAACTCGTTAGGACGTAGCTATATCGGGGACATTGAATCGTTAATCGGGGGCAGAAACTCCTTCCCTCCTCGTTCTGAACCAGTACTGTATAGCTTCATGGAGCTTAGTCGCCGATGACCGGAAGGAGGGTGCCAAGTGGGTCGCGTATTAAGTGAACCACGGTTGATTGTGGATGAGTCGTTTGCTGCATCCCACTGACATTCCCATTTCCCACCGCAATCATGAAACGAGTGGTTCCTCCAAGTCGAATCTCAAGGTCAATCTCGACCAGTCGTCCGGCTAAGGCTTCATTGGCAACTGCTCCAGCGAATACGCCCAGAGTTCCACCAGCTGTCCCCGCATATATCAGCAAAGCACAAGTCAAGGAGTCAGTACTTCCTCACGAAAGCTTTGAGACAACAGCTGACCGACTCTCAGCGGTAGGCCGATCGAAAGCAAGAGCAATGAGCCTTCGATTCTCCATCAATGGCAAGATCACGTTACGATACGGCCTCAAGCACCACAGTCTCCGCGACTAGAAACCAGATTCGTTGGTTGCAACAGTGCTCAAATTCTACACGATGTGTTGATCGAGAATGGCGTCGAACAAATATGTAAGCTCTCAATCTTTACTGTTATTATGCATCTCCAACTAACGCGTCTCTTAAGTCGGCTTCCCCGGAAATCTTGTCTACCCCCGAGGACATGATCCCTTCGAAGCTCTGTATAAGTCCTCCCAAATCAAAGCTGTCTCTCCCAAGCACGAACAAGGTGCCGGGCACATGGCTGAAGGCTACACACGCGCTTCGGGAAAAGCTGGCGTCGTTATAATCACCTCCGGGCCAGGTGTCACTAACATGGTTACGCCTATGCAAGATGCTGCGTGCGACGGCACGCCCATGGTCGTTATCTGCCGACAAGCACCATCTGGAACACATGCGTCTGAGCAGACTGATGTCTTGGGCATCACCAAGTCCTGCACAAAATGGAATATACGCGTCAACTCGATTTGGGAGCTCCCGCAAACTATCAACGAAGCCTTTGAGGTCGCTGTCAGTGGCCGCCCGGGCCCCGTCCTCGTCGAGATTCTAAACTCGGTGTCGGCAGACGTACTTGCGCATGCGGCACCGAATGCTATCAGCAAGCCCTTTTCGAGGCGCCTGCACGCCGCAACTTTCAGTGCATTTGCAGCGCCAAACTTCTCCCTCACTAACGCCCTAGACCGCGTTGCACACCTCGTCAATATTTCCAAGAAGCCCGTTCTCTACGTAGGCCAAGGCATGCTTGCTCACCCCTCCGGCTTCGACATACTGAAAGAATTCGCCGACAAGGCCTCAATCCCCGTGACGACCTCCCTCCAAGGCCTCGGCGCCTTCGATGAGCTCGACCCCAAAGCCCTACATATGCTCGGCCTTCACGGCTCCGGCTACGCCAACATGGCCATGCAAGAAGCCGACCTAATAATCGCCCTAGGAGCACGCTTCGACGACCGCGTGACAGGCAACATCCCCAAGTTCGCACCCACCGCCCTCACCGCCGCGAAAAAGGGGCTCGGTGGCATCGTCCACTTCGACATCGCGCCCAAAAACATCAACAAAGTAGTCCAAGCCACCGAAGCCGTGCTCGGCGACTGCGCCGAGAACCTCGCCTCCTTGCTCCCCCGCATCAACCGCGTCTCAGACCGACCCGAATGGCTCTCACAAATCCAGATCTGGAAGAAACGCTTCCCCTTCAACGCCTACAGCCGCAGCCGAACCCCCGGCGTCATCCAAGCCCAAGAAGTCATCGAGAAGCTCTCCGACCTCACCGCCCACATGAAAGACAAGACCGTCATCACGACGGGTGTTGGCCAGCACCAGATGTTCGCCGCCCAGCACTTCCGCTGGCGCCACCCGCGCACCCTGATCACCTCCGGCGGGCTGGGCACCATGGGCTACGGGCTTCCCGCGGCCATCGGCGCAAAGCTCGCGCGGCCCGACGCCCTCGTCGTCGACATCGACGGCGACGCGAGCTTCAACATGACTTTCACGGAGCTCTCCACCGCGGCGCGCAATGGCATCGCTGTGAAAGTGCTGCTCTGCAATAACGATGAGATGGGCATGGTGATGGATCTGCAGCGGCTGTACTATAACGGCCGGTTTGGGCATACGAAGCAGCGGAATCCGGATTACGTCAAGGCGAGTGAGGCGTTTGGCGTCCAGGCGCAGAGGTGCAGGAGGCCAGAGGAGGTGGAGGAGAAGCTGAGGTGGCTGATTGAGTGTGAGGGCCCCGCGGTGCTGGAAGTGGTGGTGGAGAAGAATAGTCCCGTGTGGCCGGTTGTGCCGGCGGGGAAGGGGCTGCATGAGTTTGTGACGTATCCGGAGGTTGTGGAGGAGGGGGAGGGGGCGGAGAAGGGGGGTGGGGATGGGAAGGCGCATGCTGCTTATGATGTTTTGGAGGGCTGAGGTGGGTTGGGTTGGGGGCGTTTTGGGGTGTAAAAGTTTATGATATATCATTAGTTTGGTAGGTGGTATGATTGTTTTGGGGGATAGTTGAACGATATCAGTGGAAATGGAAATGACAATAGTACTGCTGGCACACATAATCACACGTGTTTATTGGCTTAGAAGAAAGGCTCCTGAGTCCTCTACACCGTCACGGAATTTACCATGAATCACGAGACCACTCCCACCCCTCCGCCCTCTCGCTAGTATATAAGCTCCCTTCGCCCACTGCTTCCGACTTCTTTCTTCACAGGTGTGTTGGCAGTGTTGTCGAAATCTCTTGACCATCAGCTCATGGGGACTGGAAAGCTGCTGGATCAAAACCCCTTCCTCGATCTGCTATGTGCCGGTGGAGTGGAGGAGTTGGCGGCTCAAAATCGCAATCGGCAGGTCTGCATGAGTGTTGGAGGGCGGCGGATCAAAATGCACGGTTCCAGGGGGCCAATGTGGTCGGTTTGGAAGGATGAGATTGTTCACACTGATGACGAGAGAGTGGCAATGAGCGCTGGGAGGGTGGTGGATCAAAACCAGAGGTATGTTGGTTCCGTGGGGAGAAGTAAGGAGACTGTGTGGTGGGCTCAATCGATGAATTGCTGATGATGATCTTGTTTCCATTCCAGTATTGAAAGTGGTCATAAACAATTCGAGTTGAGAAGTTTAGGTTGAGCTCTGTCAGCGTGTTCTGGCACGACGGGATAGCGATCCATAGAGATAGTGGTGGGCAGTATCGAATGCGGTTTAGATCAACCACCAGTCCATATGGTCCAGGTATCGAAGTTGTTGAAACCCACACTGTCATCACCAGTTTGACTTTCTCCTTTTGATCCCGGCTCCAGCAAGCTCTCTCCATTGAATCTGAAAGTCTCCTGTGTTGATCGCCTGGCCGCGTTGGACGGCTGCTCCATGGTCTGGTGTTGAGGAGTGAGGGGAGAGTTTATAGTCATTTCCTAAGACGAAAGCACGTGATGAGCGTGTAGATCACGCGCTGCTGTTGAGTTGGTACTGGGAACGAATTTTATGTGAAAGGTAAGGGGTAGGACAAAAGCAAGCGTCTTAGTTTTCTGGAAATTAAGAAGAGATCTGGATACAGTCGCTTGCCACCGTGCGAGGTGCTGCAGCGCGTTATCAAGTAACTGGATGAGATGTGAGATCCTGAACCGTGAAAATAGAGCAGCTCCAAGTGAGTGTGGGCGGCTGATCTCGCTGCTGTTCCGGGTACGTACTCGAGTGTGTTAGAAATAAGGGAGGTAATATTACAGTGAAGCCAACTGCGAAATAGTGTGCCTAAACGTATGTCTGAGCACTTGTTGGTTTGCAGACCGTAGCACCTGAACATTGCTGGAACGCGACCATAATGTATATGAGCGTCCTCTTTGCTACTAGCAGTAATTTCAGTAGGTAATTATCATAATCCAACAGCACTATGCTCCGTCCTAGTGTTGTCCTGAATATCGATATGAACGCGAAATCTTAAAACTCATCTACTTTTTGAGCGGTGGTATATGAAGGCGATCCGAACAAACTCAACTCTGTCTCAAAGGTCTTGCCAGGTACCATCCCTAATCCTTCTTCGTCTCCTCCTTATCATCCCACTCCCCTTCCACTATACACTTCCGCACCTCCTCATACGCCCTATCCAAGTCATCATTAATCACCACCTTGTCATGCGGCGCCTCCCCACTCTTCGCAAACGCCATCTCCACCTTCGCCTGATTCAACCTCTTAATCACCGCGTCCTCATGGTCCGTGCCCCGCCCCCTCAATCGCGTCTCCAGTACCTCCAAGCTCGGCGGTTGCAGGAACAAGAACTTCGGTTTCGGGAAAAACGGATGGCTGGCTACCTGCTTCACCCCCTCCATTTCGATATCCAGTATACACACCTTCCCCTCCTCGGCGATCTTCTGCACTGCCGCAATTGACGTCCCATAGCTGTTTCCGCCGAAGGTCGCGCTCTCGATGAAGCCTCCCTTCTTCACGAGGTCGTTGAAGAACTCGCGCGTCACGAAGTGGTAGTCTTCGCCATCTTTTTCGTGAGCACGCGGCGAGCGGGTGGTGTGGGAGACGCTGAAGCCGAATTTGCCCTTGTGCTCGTCGAAGAGACGCTTGAGGATTGTGGACTTGCCGGAGCCTGAGGGGCCGGATATGACGATGGGTTGGTGGGCGGCGAGGGCGGCGCGGTCGATTTGGGGAGGGGTGGTGGAATCCATGGGGTCGATGGGGGCCATGGTGGGAGGTATGGAGGAGTTGAAGGGTTTATGGAGGATGAATGAGTTTGTAAACGCGCGTGAGCGGTGGAAGGACGAGGAGGTGAGAGAGGTGGGCGAAGTAAGGATGCGGTTGAAGGCCCGCTTTGGCGATGAGGGGTGGGTAATGTAGCCCTGTGCTCGAACCGTGTGTGTGGTGTTTTGAGCTTTGAATGATATTGAGGTAGACGAGCAGAGGCGCTTTTTTAGTATTGGAGACTTGGGTAGACTCAATGGCATCGATTCATTGCTAAGTGGGAGTTACAGTCTATGGTTGTGAGTGGTTTTGGGTCCGTTTGGTGGGATGAGGCTGCGGGCGCGGCCACGTGACACCGGCACCTCCGACGTCTATCTCTTCTTCGGCGGCTCGTGTTACACCATCTCCTTTCCTTGATACGCTCGACATCATCTCATTATAAAGTCAATTAATAAGAGCAACCACCTGGAAATACTTCTAACGCCCACAATAACGACACCTCAAGGTTTGTGGGAGCAGTACCACAATAATATGACCGATAACTATAGGGTTTTTAAGTAATAAGTATTATATATATTATAATATACTTATAGTATTATTCCTTCTTATTAAGGAACCTAAGCTACTGCCCCTGCTTAAGGCTAAGAACTGTAGCTAAGCTTAGTGTATAAATCCTGTAAGTAAGCTTTAGGGCTGGGCCCTTATAAGGCTCTATTTTGGGCAGGTTCCTCTCGGCTAAGTGAGTTTTGGTATCCGTATTCACCTCACTCTTTCCCATCCCGTCCTGTCCCGTCCCTTCCCTTCCCTTCCCTTCCCTTCCCAGGCGTTTGAGGAAGTTGGTGCGGCTGAACTGAATATCGCGCGGACGAAGCGGAAGAGCGGTCGGTTTTGCTCCTGCGGCCACCGGGCACGCGCTGTCGACCTTGCTAGTATCAACGCCTTCGGGCGTCTTGTACGTCTCCTCACGTTAGTTTCGTAGCGGCGAAGGTCGCCTTGTCCTTTATGTCGGCCTGGATCCACCTGGGACCTTTGGCGGGTGCGTCCTAGTGCAGACGTCCGTCGGGGACGTAGTTGATCTAGGGACCGAGGTTGTCGGTGTCGTTACTCGTGTCTGAACCCCCCAAAGGCTTATCCGAGCTGCATGCAAGACCGGTTTGGGAGGAATTGAGACGTTCGCTTCTCGTGCATGTTCATGATCGTGATCGTGATCGTGTTGCGGTCATCCGTCTGCACCTGTCATGCAAGCTGCTCACCCGACTCCGAAGGCTCGACGCTTCCGGAAAACATTGCTACCTAGCCAATCTGGAATATTGTCCAACTTCTGCAGACCTGGTGTTAAGTCGCTGTTGCCTACATCGCAACAAAGACCTGAGCTCTCACAACTTCAAGACATTTCCGATCGCCCTTTAAAATCGCGTAAATTTCGAAATGCCATCCGGAAAGGACCGCGTTTGTTTAGCTCTCTACGCCCGAAGCACGCCTCCCCAAATGCCAGGGTTAGAAGACACGTAAGTGGGAATTACTGAAGCTTTGTTTAATCTATCTATGTATATTGCTAAGCACCGGCCATAGGTATTATTAGGCGTTTATTGTCGGGCCAAAAGTCGAGCCTAGTTCAGGCGGAATAGGCACACAAATCCACGTAAGAGACAGGTCGACCGTTGTTGAGGGTAGGGTGCAAAAGGTGTAGAAGTATAAGGCAATAGATGTTCCCCTTGCACCTACCTCTATGCTCCTTATTTAACTTGTAATTGGCAAGATACTAGATAGGAATAGACTTAACTCTATTCTTAACGGGACTCCAATCTGTGCAGGACAACCCGGCCAAGAGAACTGGAATTGTGTTGAATGGGTTAAGGAAGCATTAAGGTGGATTGAGCTTGACGGGAATGCTTTAGGAACCTCATCGACACAGTGGGACCAATCTCGTCTCCCTACTAGTCCAGAAGCAGCCGCATTATTATTTTATTAAACTCTTTTGCTGTAGCCTTTACTATCTCTTTAGTAATAGTGATCTTATCTCCGCGCCGGTCTAGAAGCAGCAGTATTACTTCTTTGCCATTTCTACTATTTCCTGCTGCAGCCTTTACCACCTCTTTAGTAATAGTAATCTTATCTCTACACCGGTCTAGAAGTAGCAGCATTACTTCTTTGCCATTTCCATAATTTCTTGCTGCAGCCTCCACCACCTTTGTAGTGATTGTGCCATCACTTCGTTGCCATTTCTCTGGGTTTCCGCTGCAGCTAGTAGCAATCTTTCTGATATTGTCACTTTGCCGTCAGTTCGACAAAGTAGACGTGCAATGACCTCTGCATGTCCTGATTTCGCCGCTTCCTCCAAAGGTGTCACCCCTGCAGAGTTCAAATGCTCACTATCGCAAAATAGGCCCTCTTTCAGTCTCTTTCTCCACGTGCCGTCTCTATCGCATATGAAGTCCACGATTGAACGAATGCCCCAGCGTCCGGCAACGTGAAAAATAGAAAACTCTTTAGGAATGTCGCGGTTGAACCGATATGATCTGAGGCGTTCTAACCAATATTCCCGACATATGGAATCAAAATTGAAGAACTCAGCCTGTGAATCTTCAATTCAGAATTTTGGTCCTGCCATGTGTGCATGATGAGCCCAGAACTGAATTGAATACGATGAAAGGTCGCCATTTAATGCGACATTATTCTGCTTTGTCTCAGTATAGAAACTTTGAATGATTTCGTCTACGCATCGGTGCGCAATGTCGGCGTGGGCCTCACAGTCGTTGATGAAGCAGTCAGGGCCGGACCAGACCAGAAAGTCCTTGACAGATTGATGCAGTTGAAGAACAGTCTCATCCTGGATTGTTATGAGAAGGCGGCAAGACTCGATTTCTTCACGGGTAAACTGAATCCGGTCTTCCTCGTCTTCGCCCTGATGGATTTGACAAACTACAGAGAGCTCCGACAAGCTGAGCGGGCGCAAGGCGACCATAACGGAACTCAGAATGCGTTTGATTGTAGCTTGGTCTTCTTCAGTTTTTGAATTAAGAGCCGTGTGGAGGAGTTTATCGTATAAAAGATGAAGGCCCTTGGGTAGCGCCTGCAGGGTTTTGACAGCTTCCTTCGAATCAACCAGTTTCAATTCACTGCAGGCTAAGCCGACCCATAGAAAAGTGCCATCCGCTTTGTCGCTGAGGTTCCCGCGCCCACCAAGGATGTCCACGTTCAGTCGAACTCTATGAGATAGCCACAAGAGTCAATGATGTCTCGCTCTATGGGGGGAGCAAAGTTGAAACGGTCGAAGAGCTAAATTCTGTTTCTAGAAAGGTGCTCTGGGAATGACGGGCCGGACGAAGGGCTCTAGCTGGTGGTGGCCACTAGATTCGTGCACAAATCCCAGCAACTGCCATGGGCTACGCGACTCAAACCATAACACGCCTGAAAAGATTACATTTTATGCCACCCCGTGAATAAGGAAAGAGCTTCACCGCATAGAACTTGGAGTATCATATTTGAAAAGCCGTGTTATACCATCAATAGAGTGGAAGATACTCAGACAAGCTCAGTATTTTTCTTCAAGCAAGTATACCTTCCCTTTATCACTACAGCTGCCAGGCCAAAGGTCACAACAGTGAGAATAGAAGTCACGACAATGTAGAGCCAGAATCCAGGAACAGCCTGGAAGTGTCCTCGTCCCTCATTTCCCTGCTTCAATTCTATCAAATTAGAGCTGAAGAGGGTCTACGCGACATAAATTAGCCAACTATCAGTATGTCATATCTTCAAGCCGATTCCATTATCTCACTTACAGCCATCAAGGAAGCTGGTAAATATATCGTGGCAATTATACTGAGTAGTTTGAGAATTCGCGAATCATTTTGGTTGAGTGCCAGACTTTCTTGCATCGTCTGGCTCGTCTTTAGCGTCATTTCGTCGCTCCGAGAGTTCAAAATGTCGGACAACTACGCGTGAGTTAGAGGAAGTTAACCAATAAGGGAGGCTTACGAACCATGTAAGTCGTCCCCCGTATATATTCCATCATGAAGCGCAGGTTGCGCTGATGCATATGGATCTGAGCTTTGTATATCCGAATTCCATCGACGAACCGATTGTCCTCGACGACGTTGCTTGACCTCAACTTCCAATGAAGATTTTCCAAATCTTTTGCGAGAGTTAAGCAGGACTCGAGGACACTCATCGTCCTTAACAGTATGCGACGGCGGCGTTGCAACTTTTGGCAGTCTGAAAACGAAACATCATAGTCGTTCCTTTTTCCTAGTCGAATTTCAGAGTTACACGCCTTGTCATCCTGCAAATTGGATTGTTAGCACACTTCGAGAGCTGCTCCTATGGAACAAGGAAATTTTACCACTTTGTCCATTTCTGCCCAGAGATACTCAATATATTCACCCCAGTTACTTGCCATCGAAGAAAGAAAATCCAAGTGAAGCAAATATGAGCTTCGGATTGGGGTGTCCGACCCCGTTGGCCTTCCATAAAGCTTCTCTTTTAGGTCATCGTACAGATTCTGGGATGGTTGAAGGAGGATCCATGTTGAATTCTGTTGATGAAGTATTGTCTGTTGATATATGCCGGTTTGTCGGAGAGACCATGGGTTTTTGGGACTCCTGTTGTTTCTTTCAACGTAACGAACTACGTAGCAGAGCTCTACAACTTAATAATCAGTCTTTTGACAAATACAATAATATGACACGAACCAATTACAGAGTTCGTTTCATTACCGTCCAGCCCCGAACTGTAGAAACTATCCCATACTCGATGATCATCATCTCTTTTGAATCCGAAAGCTGTGAGGGCATCGAAAAATGGAGTAAAAACTCGGTGGCCTTCGAGAATAATCTGAATTCCCATTTGCGTAATCAGCAATCGACTGAATGTGTTTTTCTGTCTGATGATACTGCGCAAGGTCTCTAGTTAGATAGGGTAACCATAGAAAACATAGCGAGTTGGACTCGCTTACTAGAAGACTTGCTGGGCCTCGCTTTTACCCTCCTAGAATCGTTAATTTTGTAAACTTGCAGCTGGATGTCTCGACATTGCTCTCAAGTCGTTGGAATTGACATTACCTTGACAATATCTTGCATGGTATCCCTGTCGGTAGCCAAACGCTGAGTGACATTACCAGTTTCGGTCGAAGAAATTAATGCTTCGACATTTTCCACGTCCTGAGAGAAGATCTCATGGGCGTGCTTGTGGAGCCGTCGTTGGTGGATATCGAAGGGTTGCGTTTTGGTGTTGATCTGTGTCCGCTGTTCTGCCATAGAACTATCGTCCACTCGAGGACGGGGATTTGGTTCGACCATGCTTGCTCTTCGCATGTGCTGGCTCGCTTCCAGTATTGGTCATGCTACCCAAAGGATGGGATTGCAATTTCATTTGTTTCTTCTTTGTGCTTGATATTTTTAGTTCCATGCGCGCATTCTTATAGAATATGAGCTTTGTAGAAGAGGCCGACAATTCGCTATGGGTGTGGTCGGTCGGACGTGGTAGCCTTGGCGATGCCTGTGACCTGCAGCTAGCTGCTTCGTGCGAGGATGCGCAACAGCCTGAGGCTTGCATTGAACACATGTGGAGATGGCGGGTAACCGGGTGCCACATCATCACGCATACAAGAGATACTCTAGTTGCAAATGCGCTCTACGGGGTGTGGACGCGCGAGATATTGCTGTAGTCAGGTTACCAAAACAATAAGAAATGGGAGAGAGGATATGCATTTCAAGCTGGCCGTATTGCAAAGATTTGTCGTGCCAAATATTCCGGGTGTTTTTGAGGGCGGCGGGCTCCGGCGCCTTCGTAAAAAGCCCCCAGAGCTGGCGTCCACCACTGGCTCAACCAATGAACCACACCACCACCACCCCCACCCGGGTGGTTTTGTATGCAAACTTATCTTGAAATGCTCGTGCTGACTGACCCAAGCCCTGTTGCTTAGTTATTTAGATGCAGCTGCGCCCGGCAGGTGGTGCAAGCATCCCATTTGCTCCATTCTTACCCTGCTGACCGGTGAAGCTGCCTTCAATTGACCGGATCTATTTGACCGGTCTGTATGTACTTTGCCTCAACGCCATTTATCTGTCTAGGGAAACTTTGGAGTTCCGACCACCTCTTAAGGCGTTCATTGCAAGGCCATGCCGACCGTGCATAAGCAGAAAATTCCGGCAAGATACGTGAAGGAAGAGGTGCTCGACAAACTGCTTATGGAATGGTATGGCAAGGCCAATTTCGAGTTTGAGGTGGTATGATGCAAATGCCTTTCTTTCCCTAGTAGTTTCTTTCCCTTTCAACCTAGAACTAGGCTTTCGACTAACATTGGTCTAAGGACGAGGACGAACAAGTTATTATTGTAACACTCTATCATGAGAATTCGGGGCTAAGTAATGTGCGCAAATCTAGCTCTGTAGAGTTTTTAACTCCTACTAAGACTACCAGGCACAAATAGAGAAGATAAGGGATACTTGCTTCTAGTACCTCTTTCCGAAGTCGGCCAAGCAAAGGTAACAATATGTTCTCCTCCATTAGCGGATAGCCAACGCCTTTACTTCTCTATTTTCAGCTTCTTGAGGCATTTCTTAGCTCTAATCAATAAATGTAACTAACGTCATTTATTAGGTACAACTATATGCCTAGATATGTCGGAACTTCGTAGATCTATCGAAGCATTACTCAGCCAGGTCGATGGTGACAGCGACGAGCGAGAATTCATCCCTCGACAAGCCCTCTTTGAGCTTTTGACTCCGGAAAACGTTCGGAAAGAGATCGATAATGTACCCGCAATCTCATTTTATCATAAAGATAAGGTTGTGGACTGGGTCGTGACCAAGGGACGGAAAGTTTTCGCGATTCTTGTTCTACTGAAGAATGAGCAACGATGGCTCCTAAGTTTTATTGAACACGACCAGTTCGCACAAATGGACGAAAGGCTGCCGTTTCCATTGACATTTCTTCAATCAACCGTTCCCGATATTGCCAAGGAATTCTATAATCGTCAATGGGAATTTGTATCCCCGGTGCTGTCAAGAAACGTGATGCACCGATCCTTCCCCTCTAGAATCCGACTACCATTTATCAAGAACAAATTGTTCGACAAAGGAGGCTTTGGAGATGTCTATGAAATCGAGCTTCACCCAGATCATCAGACAAGTGAACTTCTTTGTCATGCTGTAGGTCAGTTTCTTTGCTATAATTAATACAAGGACTAACCTTGGTCAAGGGTTCGCGGTTAGTTCGGAAAGAGTTCAAAGTACAACACGCCCATTCGGAGACCACTGAAGAGAGAGCACCCGGCGAATGGGATGACTACAACAAAGAGTTACGCAACCTCTCCATCCTGAATGAACTCGGCCACCCAAACGTTATCGAGCTGTTAGCATCCTATACTCATGGAGATAAGCACAACTTGATATTTCCTTTTGCAGAGGATGGGAACCTCCACTCGTTCTTGTTGGCAGATCGCCCGACCTCTTTCGCATCGGACGAGGCTTTCCTTGACGCCTTTTGTGGGCTTGCCTCCGCGATTGAACGGGTACACTACTACGCCCTGGAGAAGCTCCAAATTGAAATGATTGGCTGTCATCACGATCTCAAGCCCAAAAATATTCTTGTTCAGGGAAAATCGTTCCTCCTTTCCGATTTTGGACTTTCGAAACTCAAGGAGGCTACAGACGATTCAAAGTCACCTTATGAGCACGGGGCCGGTGATTACCTTGCTCCAGAATGCGAAACACATACGGTCAGCAGGCCAAGCGATATATGGTCCTTTGGCTGCATCATTCTCGAGATTTTGACTTACATACAAGGCAACAGCAAAGCAGTCAAAGATTTTAGGGACGCGCGAAAGGAAAAACTGGGCAACCAGGTGAGACGAGCATTTCATGCTGGAATCGACAAACCGAAAGCTATCGTACTGGACAGTCTCACAAAACTGGCCGAATTTGACAGCACAAGTCAAATACTTGTCGAACTGACGAAATCCATGCTCGACATGGATCCAAAGGCCAGACCAGATGCCAAGCACGTAGCATCCAGACTTCGATTCATTTTCGTCCAAAGACTTATTTCGTCAATTCACGAGCGCTACCAGAAACTGTCTGCAAAATTCCCCAATTCATTCGAAGCACATGTCGAGGCGAGAAGACAGCGGAGTTGGACTGCCAGTTTCGAATCCATGGTGGACGAGAACGATTGCTGGAGCTATCAATTAGATCAAGAAGCGAATCTCTCGGCCATTATCAGAGAATTAGTAGCTGCTCGGGATGAGCTAGCTTCAATTCTAACTCGTTCGGAGAACGCCTTGTCACCGCTCTATGCTGACCTGAGCCTCGCCAACGACCGACTCCTGAATACCCTTCCTGTGGACTTGCAAATGCTTGCCAAATCGCAATGGGAACTCTCTATGCTCGAATCCGACGACACAAATGAGTTGGAACGCACTCAGAGGAGTCTCGAGGACGCACATTTTGAAGGCAATATGAGCATCATGGCGAAACTCAAACGCATGTCAATATTAGCAGCGGAATCCGTAGGGACGAGCACCTCGAACCTTGCACTAGATGCCAAGTTTGTCAGCCGCGCGGAAAAATTCGGCGATCATACCGTCGCTACTGTCCGCTCAGAAGGAGGCGTTGAGAAGCGTGTTCTCATTGAATGGGTCCGCTATCCCAAATGGGAGACGAAGAGCATAACCATTCTTTCGGATCGAATTGAAGCGCTAGCGTCTGCTCTTAGCTCTTCGGCACATCCACAGGAATTTCGTACGCTGTCTTGCTCTGGCTTCATTCACGACATCTCCAAACCAGCCTATGGCCTGGTGTATGATATGCCAGTGTATGCGGGCGTGATCCCCCAAAATCTTGCGAAAGTTATCAACGACACGGCTCAGACAACCCCAAGACCCACACTTGAGTCTCGCTTCGACCTCGCGTACACTCTTGCACTCGCTCTATCTAGCTTCCACAAGATCGGCTGGCTTCACAAAAGCATTTCCGCCTACAATGTCCTGTGCTTCAATTCCCACGACTCCAGTCCATCAAGGTGGCTTGAGTCCCCTTTCCTCGTAGGGTTCAACCACAGTCGCCAGAAGGATCCGTTAGCATTCACTGTCGGCCCAACGACTAATATTACTGCGAAGAAATACCACCACCCTCAGTACCTCAATACAGATGGCCCGCAAGCCAAATATCGACTCGAGTTCGACCATTACAGTCTCGGCCTTGTGTTGCTAGAGATTGGGCTATGGAAGACGCTTGAGAGGCTGACGAACGGCATGAAGGTGACGACACATGAAGACAGGCTGGACCAGATTTGCGAGTCCCGGGTTCGGCTGCTGGGGCACCAAATGGGAACAGCGTACCAAGATGCAGTGTTGGCATGCCTGAGAGGCGTCAGTGAGAGCGAATTGGGAAAGGATATGGATGATGAGGGAGGCGAAGCTGAGCGAAATACAACGCTCCAGCTCGCCTTTGTGAAACGGGTCCTGGAGCCTCTTCGAATAATGATCTCGCGTGTGTGAGCCTCATTGGCTGCACTACAGCAAATCAAGTTTCATGAATCAAGGAGCTGGAGTGCGGGGGCAGCGCCATTTGGTGGTATGACCACGGCGTGTTGCATGGGTATGCACAGGTGTTGCATGATAGGAATATCGCTGTCCATTCATTGCTCATGGCAAAGTGGCCACGCCTTCCAGCCTTGCAGCCTGACCGGTGATGGCTGCCTCCGGTCAACGAAGGTCAGACAGCCACGTCACGCAGTTGGGGAGAAGTATGGACTGAGTGAGGCTCTTTCTCCAAGCATCCCGGACATGAGTGAGTTGACTGGGATGCGTCACCGATGAAGGCAGAGTAGCAGTGGCTCTGGATTTGCTCTGCAGCTTGTTTCTCTCCTAGTAACGGAGACAACTTCTGCGGTAGAGGACAGAAGGAAGTTTCTTGGCACGCATGTGAAGTGGAGCACCTACAAGGAGATATATTGTTTATCTAGCAATGTGTGTGTGTATGTGTGTGTGTATGTGTGTGTGTGGTGTGTCCGTCTAAACGCCACCGAGCCAGGTCATCGGGTCATGCTTGTAGGGGTATGCGCCTTACCTCCTGTTCACTGGATCCTTCCCACACGCTTCCTCGTCATGCTGCGCACAACCGCGTCCTTCACAACCCTTTTTATCGATTCTCTTACGGCCATATATGAACTGTTTACTTCCACGTTGACTTTACCATCAATCTGCCGGAACTCCCTCCGACGCATCTACAGGCTGCCAAGAGCACGCTCACCTTATTCTTGTCTACTGTGGTGTATCTTTTCGAAGCGCTCGCTATGACTCAGGAGAGAGACGACGCGGCCTCTTCGTTTGCCGGCGCCAAAATCAACTTCTCTGTCGGCTCCTTCGACAGCACGGGTGAGAAATGTGGTGGGCTTGGGTGCCATCGCGGCGAGGCTGATAGAGTCTTGCCTGAGCGTATCAAGGAGTTGGGAGCTAGGCTGTCTTCCGTCCCTAGCAACGTACCGACAAACAATATCCATGCTATCCTCACTTCCTATTACGACTCGGTGGTTTCCACTTCGTCTAGCGATGAGCTTGATCTCCTCGATCTGCTTGCCGTTGTTCAGCACTGGCGGGTGAATATACTTCCCGTACAATGGAACGAGGACGAAGATATCGGAAGCGGAGGTACTGCTGGTATTACTCAAGGCGTGAATGCCAGAGACTCTAGCAGCAGCACTCAGCTTGACTTTGCTTTCAAGCGCGTACACAGAGAGCATCTAGAAGGGAATGACGAGCGCGCCGACCTGCAGACTCTCTTTTCCGAAGTCTTGGTTCTAGGACATCCTGTCATCCGACACCATCCAAACATCCTTGAGCTCGAAGGTATATGCTTCGAGGATGTCAACAACAACGCATGGCCCGTCTTGATTTTCAAGAAAGCCAGCCACCAGGATATGCGAAATTTCATGATTATACGGTCTCAAGAATACATGGGCGCTAGTGAAAGGCTGAAGTTATGTGGGGATATCGCCAACGCCATTCTGCTCATGCACGCCTGCAGTGAGTAATTACATTGCCCCCCGTCATCTACGCGAGCACTAAACCTCTACTAGATGTAATCCACGGAGACATCAAACCAGAAAACGTGTTGATTTTCGATGATGGGGGGGAAAACTTCACGGCCAAGGTTTCAGACTTTGGCTATTCTTCGTTGCGAACTAGCAACGAAGGACAAATTAACCTCCCGGAATCGTGGCCGTGGACAGCTCCAGAGATCCTCATTGAAAATACTACCACATTTGCCTGCGCTAAGTCCGCCGATATATTTTCGTTCGGCATGCTTTGCGTCTGGATCTTGTTCGTTGGCTCAACATCGACGCAAGCAATGGAAACTAAAAGACCACAAGAGACGAATGCTTCTCTTGACTATATCCTGTCCGGACTAAAGAAGGATAGCCAGCTTCTAGACTACGCCAAGACCCAGATTGACCAAATGAGCGGCATTAGTGATGACAGGAAAGCATCGCTTTATCAGTTTTTTGCGTCCAGTCTGAGCAAAAATGTGGACGAAAGGGATTTGAACGAGAAGGTAGTGAAGTCGGCGTTTGGGTGCGACTGGTATGTCCTTTTCCATGGAGAGTTTTCGAGTGACTCTAAAGATTTTCAGTGCGACAGACGTTCTCATGTCTCAATTTGGCCAATCAGCAACACCGCCGGGAAAACCGCTCTTTCAGGTGGGTGGGAAGAGACCTAGTTATACACTTCAAGTGGCGCTATTCTGACCAACCATAGCTCACTAGTTCTTACCGGCAATTCAAGAACTCTAGGCCTAGCCTTAAAGAATGCGTGGTCAGCTGCTTTAAGAACAGAGCTGGAAACAGTATAGACGATACCATTCGGAACATTTCCGCATTCCAATTAGCGTTTTGCTACAATGTCGGATTCGGCGTTCCCTCTGATCCAGTCGAATCTACCTCTTGGCTACGGCGATGTGATAAGGGAGTCCAGGACCTTGAAGACATGCTTAGAATGACCAATGATGATGAATCTCGTCGTTACGGGAACGTCAAGGTTCATGCAAGCATGTTCGGAGACGGCGGTGAAAAATCGAGGAACAAAGGGAAGGGGAAGCTTGTAACTGGAAAAGAGAACACTGTGGAGGAACATGCCTCTCTTCAGCATGGGCCAGATGCGTCCGCAATGGGAACCGCTGTCGGATGGATATTTTCGAATTTTGGAGTGAAGAATACTAAAGAAATAAAGTTCCTGGATGTAACAAACGCTGGATACGAGGACAATGGACGGGCTGAGTTGTTGAAGCGCTGTAGGGAAGAGTTTAGGTGGGACAAGCCCGACAGCGAGTACGAGACTGTAACCATTGAAGTCGCGTTTCACGAGGATGATGTTGGAAAGAACAGGCCAGTTGATGGAGGGATTGCGGACGATACCCTTCAGAACCAGGAATATGAAGAAAAGGCGCAGTTGGAACGAGTCGAAACCAAAATCAAAGTCCTTGGCGAGGATCACCCCGATGCTTTAGAAAGCATGGAGACACTGGGACGTCTGTATTGGAATAACGAAAACCGATGGGCGGAAGCCAAACAGTTGGTGATTCGGGTAATGGAGATCCTCATCGGGACTCTCGGGGTCAACCATCCAGACACGCTAGAAGCCATGGAAAGAGCTGCAACGATGCACATGTTCTTCGAAAGATGGGAAGAAGAAGAAGACTTACGTCTTCGAATCATGGAGATAAGATTGAGGCTTTTCGGTATCCGCAACGGAAACACCCTAGACTGCCTTGAGTGCCTAGTTCGGCTGTTCCTGAAAACTCAAAGGCTTACGGAAGCAGAAGAGCTGCAGGAACAAGTGGTGGAGGCTAGGATGGTTGCTCCTGGCGTCACGGACGCCAAGGGATTAAAGAGTATGGAATTGATGGTTGAGATTTTAATGGCAGATGAAAAGTGGGAAAAGGCGGAGCGATATCAGCAATGGATTGTGCACGCGAGGCGGCACACAGTTGGAGACAAAAATGTCGACACTTTGGAAAGCATTGAAGTCTTAGTCGCCATATATGTTCTGCGTGGGCAGAGATATAAGGAAGCCGAAGAGCTGCAGGATTTAGCCGCAAGTGCGTACGCACAGATTCACGGCTCAGATCACCCAGCAACGTTGATGAGCCAGGAGAAGCTAGCCTCTATTTACGCTCTGGATCAACAGTACGAAAAGGCGGAGGACATCTACCGCCAAATTGTTGATGTTCGAACAAGACGTTCTGGGTGTATTGAAAAGGATGATCTGCAAGCTATGCAATTCCTTGCTCTGTTGTACAAGATGCAACAACGAAATTCAGACCTCGAGGATATACAGCGAATGATTGTTGAAGCGAGAAAGCACAACTTCGGCCAAGAGGATTCAAGCACTCTTGCAGCCAAAAATGACCTCGCCTCAACGTGCATGCGGCTGCAGCAGTGGGACATAGCGCAAACGTTGTATGAAGACGTCTTGGAATCGAGAAAGAAGATCCTAGGCTCGAGTAATGAGGAGACTCTGAAAAGCATGAACGATCTCGCCATGGCATGCAATGCTGCCGGGTCATTCGAGAAGGCAGAGGTCCTATTATCTGACGTCCTAGAGAAGGCAAGGGAATCAGTGGGCTCGAAACATTCAATTACGGCAAGAGCGGTGTATAATCTCGCGGAGACATACAAGTACTTGGGAAATTGGGAGAAAGCGGAAGAGTTGCTATCTACAGAGAGGTCTGCTGCTGGACATCTGGGTTTCATTGATGACGCAAACGACCTAGACGACGAATACTTCAAGACATGTAGGACGCTGGAAGATTTGAACGAAGTTATTCCCGTTCTAGAGGAAGGAGCTATGACTATTCCAGAAGGCCATCCCGCTCGTGCTATGAAGTTGCATGAGCTCAGTGAACTCTACCAGCGTAAATTCCACGCCTATTATGAGCCGGCCGATCTAGATACAGCGCAGAACTGGGCAGAACAAGCCGTCGACGCAGCTTTCGGAAACAATGCCTTTCAGTCCTTGCTATTAAAGGCCTTAGGGAAGATTTGGTGGGAAAAGTTCAAGATGACGAGTCAAGAGGAGCATATGAATAGAGCCGTAGACGAAGCCGAGAAGGCGGTGTACATTGCGGAGAACACGAATCCAAATCGAGCCATCCTGTTAGCAAACTTGGCTAAGATGCTCGTGCGTCGGTACGAGCGAACTCGGGATGAAGACGACCTCGATGCTGCATTTGTTTGGGCTGAGCAGGCAAACATATCGACCGCAGAGAGTCATCCAGAGAGTCATCCTGACCGAGCGATAACCTCACATCGCTTGAGCAACACGTACTGGCATCGATTCAATAGCTTAGGGAATTTGGATGACCTGAAAGAAGCGGTTAAATATGAGGAGGAGGCTCTCGAAACTCTGCGCGACAATGATTGCAAGCGCCCACTGAGGCTCTACTCTTTCGCTAAAATGCTCAAAACTCGATATGAGCGTACCGAAGATATTGAACACTTGGAGCAAAGTTTGATCTGGTACGAACAAGCCGTCGAGTCCGTACCCAGAACAGGAAAGGAAGCCTTCACGAGGTGCGTGTGGCTTGGAGATTTGATCAGACTCTTTGAAAAACGGTTCGAACTTACCGGGAACCTTGACGACTTGGACCAGTCCATTGATAGAGCCAATGAAGCAGCGGACATCGCCAGTGATGACACCCTGGAGCTGCCCTTAGGTTCCATCCTCACCAATCTAGCGGGCCAGTATTACCAACGCTTCACTTGCACTCCTGACGCCGACCTCAAGGACTTCGAAAATGCTGTGCAGCTGGCGGATCGCGCTGTTGAGGCCACTCCTGAAGATCACAAGGATTGGGCTTATGCACTACATAATCAACAGTTCTTATACGACTCATACAACCAGCTGGTGTCTGCGGTAGTAGCAGCCATGGGACAAGATCAGGGCGAGGACGAGGAAAATGAGGATGAAGAGGGCGGGAATGGTGAGCGCGAGAATGGTGAGCGCGAAAATGAAGGATAATAGAGGAGAGAGAGAGGTCAGATCATAGGAGCATAGGTGGATAAGTATGTACATCAAAGGAGGAAGGCGTTGATAAGCATGATCAACAAGCTGGACGCCATGTCGTTTGCAACGGCCAAGTGATGAAAATAGAATCCCGAGTCTTCAGCTCACTCCTGCCAGGATCTAGGGCAATTACTCGCGTCCTGACTGACTCTTCGGATATTACTGCGCAGTAGACTCTATGTATTTAGTAACGCTGCTAGTTCGTTTGTCGCAAGTTTGAAAGTCGTCACTCCACTATTTATCGCATTACCAAGTATTGGCTTCCTGCTTCACCCCTTAAAAGGTGAGTGCGGCTTATGTATACCCTTGAGGCTATTTTCCCGACTTTATATCTTCTCTCGTAACGAATTGTTAAGGGTTTGCTCCTTCGGGCTAGCGATGACAAGTTTTACGCCACTAAAATGGAAGTGAGACTTTAAAACGCGGACAGGAGAATATCTTGAGGTCTTGCTGTCGCCTTGACCCTGTCTAAGCCTCTGCCATTCTACCAAATAGGACTAGCAGGCCAGAAGTATGGTCAAAGGGTTTTCACCTTAATTACGGAGTTGTCGTATAAAGTGTCTGATTCTGGCATGTTTCTCGATCGCATCTTTTCTCACCATTGGTACTTCTCTAGCTCTTAAGCTTCACCCGAATTTATCCCTCTTTCGCTTCTTATATTCAATATGATGACTTCTACAGCCGCCCTTTTAGCATTCGTTGCTCCCTTATCTATTAATGCCTTCACCAGGGCCTCCGTTCAATAAACTCAATCAACCGGCCTCTCGATATTAGTTAAGTTAAAGGCTTAGTTAGCAGAGATCCAGATTAATTAGGGCGCTAGTACCTGTACACCCCCTTTTTAGTACCTGTACACCCCCTTTTTAGTAGTTGTACACCCCCCTTTCTAGTAAACATACACCCCCTAAACCCCTGTCGTTTCACCGCCCTCTGATTAGCTCGGAGCACTGTGCCGGAGCTCCGGTTATTCACCTATACATCACGTGAGGCTATATAAATCGGCGTGCAGCCTTTCCGATTTGTGCAGCCTCGCCGATTTGTATAGCCTTACGTACGAGCTCACGTACGGCTATACAAATCGACGTGCAGCCTCGCCGATTCGTGTAGCCTCACCGATTCGTGTAGCCTCATGTACGAGCTCATATAGTATAAGTATAAGTCTAAGTCTAAGTATAGAATAGAAATTCTATTCTAGAAGTGCCTACGTGTCTACAAGTATGCCAAACCTGTCAAAACCTCACCTTATTACGGCCCCTTTGCATTGAGCCTAGCGCCCTCGCATCACCGCCTCCGCCTGCTTAATATCTCGGTCAATTTCCGCCTTAATATCTTCATCATACGTCGCAAGCTGACGTAGAAGCTCCTCTCGGCTAAGCCTCTGTGCCTGAGGATGAGGCTGAGGCTGAGGCTAAGGCTGAGGCTGAGGGGTAGGCTGAGGGGTAGGCTGAGTACTATCTTGCCTCTGAGCTTGTGCCTTTTTCCGTGGTACCTTATCCTTTGCACCAGGCGGCCGGCCGCGCTTTTTAGCTGCAGGTGCAGCCGTAGGTGTTGCCGTATGCGCTGCTGTATGCGCTGCTGTATGCGCTGCCGTATGCGCTGCTGTA